ACCTAGAGAGCGCACCTTAAGGATCCATGTACCCAAATAATATATACATTTGGCTGCATATGTTCGAATGTAATGCTGCATATGATTTTTGTTCTTGTGGTTTCTGTGGGGGAGCCCTCAACTCCGAACCCTAAGCTCTAAACATTGACCCCTACATACTGAAGCAAAGCTCTTTGGGTGGTGGGTGTCAAGCCATCAAAACTATTATATAGCTACGAGTTAATAAAATTGCTGTTAGAACGATAAATATCCTAAAAACTATTATTACAAACCAACGGGACTTGACAAGTTGTTAGTGCTGGCTCTGGTGCGCTGTGGGTATCTAAGGTGAGGCCTGTGAGCTTGGGGTCGGTTTCGGGTTGTCAAAGTTTGGGGTTTTCTTATCCACGCAGATCCACACGGCCTGGCAATCATCTGATCGTTTGTGCGAAGAAGGGCAGCTGTTGAACCCAGGCTCAATATCATGAACGTGCCCTCCGTTGCGCACGTCGCAGGGACCACCCTGTACGCTGTTTGCGCCCGGCACCAAGTCCAGGATCCCTGTACTTCCTCCTGTCTCAGGCTCTTAAATAAATTCAAACCCCGAAACCCCCAATCGCAAACCCTATGCCCGCTAAGCTGTTTTCTTTTAGTTCTGGCAGGCAGACACACGGATGTCACCACAGTTGAAGAACAACCCGGGACCATGTCTACAAGAAGGTGAATCCTGCTATAGTGAGGATCGTGCCATCTTAGGATCTCCTTCTAAAGGGCATCCCCGACTTTGGAAACTCCCGTGTTGGTGTTGAGCTTTGTCCGTGGCTGATATAAACGATTCTCCTGACAGGAGGTTGGGCTACGAGAGCCTCAGCGACTATCCTAGGTACAAAGCCAAGCAAGCTTGATTCCGATCCGCACTCCTGAGAGCGCATCCTAAACGATCTGGGTTTGAAGGCCACCCGAACCAAACCATTTGGTTTCAGGGGCCTGCTCCTACACCGAAAGCAGGCTGGCTGCAAGAGCTTCATGCCATTTCTGTATTTGTAAACTTCAAAATTCATCTTTCAGCTTTGGATAGGATTGAAGATTTATACCGGCAAGCAATGCGCCTCGACTGCCATGTTGTAGGTTCTTACAGATGGCCTTCAACATAGCTTACCAAAGCATACTGAAGCATGTTTTCCTGTGCCGCTGAGTTTAGACCTCAAACACCACCCCCTAAACCCCAAACCCTCGGCCCAGAAGCCCTGCTCCACATCACAATTCCAGCCTTCCGGCCCCCAAGGACTCAGGGTGTTTGGCGTTTCGACTCCTCGTACTTGTGGCGCTTCATCAAGTTGTTGACCATGCACAGCCAAAGCGGTCTAAGACAGTCATATTAGGGCTTTGGAGTAAACTGCAGTGTACCTATACATATGGTCCCCGAGGAAGCAATATTGGCAGCTATTCAGGCCAAGATAAATCAGATAAACCTTTGTAACATAAATCTGACGCCCTCCTGAGAAGGCGAGTACCCCTTGCCGCAAGTGAGGGTGAAATTCCTCGAGATTCGGGCGCTTCTGCTCCCAGGTTTCGGTGCTTCTGGCAAGATTAAAAAATATAGGAGTTTCGGCAGTGATACATGGGTATGCATATCTGTCGTTATATGGAAGGCTTTGAAGAACGCGGTAGTTATGCCGAACCCATTGCCGAGCCCCTAAATGTTGGCCCCAGGTTTGCAAGCTGACCTTCGCTCCGGACGTCCGGGTCGACGTCCAAGGCCGGGGGTTCGGGAGCCAGGGCTTAGGAACATTACTGGTGTTGTGCATTTGATTGCGATCATACAGGGAGTGGAGGTTAGATGGGTTTAGGACCAAACCCACGTTGCACGCCACAGCCACCGTGAACCTTAAACCCACCCTAAACCCGACGCCCGAAGAAAGACCCTCAGTGCAAACCCTAGAATATGGACTTAGCCTAAATCTTGCCCTCAGCCTCGGGGCGAGTGGGTTCGGGGGCCAAGGGTTGGTTTACGGAATAATACTAGCACAGGTAAGTTGGGACCGTCTCTGCGGCTTCGGGGATTGGGTTCAGGTTTTTTGGTTTTAACCTAGGTTCCTACGTTATCCATGCTGAAGCGGATTTGCAGATTGGGGTTGAGGTTCGGGGATTGGGTTTTGGACTAAGACATGCAACCCTGTTTCCACCTTAAACCGGGTTTGCGGCTTGGGTCGGGGGCGATTAGTGGTTTCGGGGGTGACGGATTGGGTAGACACACAAGTAGCCCTAAAACCACTTCAAAGTTGCCACTGCGGCTTCCGGTAGGTGCTACGCGGTTGGGGGGGTGTGACGATTTTGGCCTTGCTGGGCGTGGGAGGTTTCGCTGGCAGTTCAATTTTCAAGCGTAGACCCTAAAGCCCGCCTTGCCTGCCTTGTGCGAGAGTAAGAGTCCGAACCCTAAACCGTGCATCCCAGAAGCAGTGGACTTCCCGCCGCAAAAGAAGCCGAAGAAGCCGCGGTTAACGGCCAAATCATGCGGTTGGGATGGGATGTCAAGTTCATGAGATGCCTGGCTTGCTAAATCCGGGACCAGTGCACGGACATCAGAAGGTGCACCTCAGCAGGACTTGGCCATCTGAAAGCTGCAGGTGAGAAGACCACAGTTCCAAACCCGGCAGAATGACTTGCAGAAACAGCCTGATGGTCCTGCAAGAGGTTGGCCAGCAAGAGGCCACGGAAGCCGCGGGCCTAAGCTTTCAGAAGAGCCCCCAAGTCAGCCAGGAATTTATGACCGATGAACTTGGATGCTCAGACTCCATGGACGGCGTTATGGTCACCACGCCCATCGTGCCCATCGGCGCCAGGGACATTGTCATCGTGCATGCGTAATTCGTGCTCCAGCCCCACTACCTTACATTGCGTAGTTCCTGCCCCAACCCTACACCTTACATTAGACCTCATCCAAGCCCTACATAGACTACTAAGCTACAAAGCTAGAGGTCTAGCTGCCCTGGCAGCAGAAGGGTGTTCTAGTCCTACTTCTTTTAAGGCTGGCTGTAGGCACGGTGGCGTCGAAAGTCCTCAACAGCCCGATCTTCCGGTTTTAGCCTTGACCCTCCTCGGCCTCATGCCAGCAATTTGCCGCAGCGGCGCGGGAGGATGCTCGGCGGCCGTCTCGCTTGTTTCAGGTTTAGTCCTGACTAGGGCAACATAATAAGCTGAAGTCGCCACCGTAATTTGCCAGCCGTGCTAGCTCTATAGGTTTTAAAGCCGTAGGTCTACGTGAACCAGAACCAGTTAGCTCAGGCCGCAACCCTAACCCCTTCCAGTCCCAACAGAACAGCACGACGTAGCTTCCCAGAGTTGAAGCCCCCAAGATCCCTTGAGTAAGCCCCCCTGATTTCCTGAACACCCCGGAATCTCGTCAGGTTCCCTGGCCTCTTCTGCATTGTGGCCAAAGGTCACGAAACCAGGCGGGCCAGCCTCAGTTTTCGTGGAGCTGGGGAGTTGCTGATTGCGACTTCAATCTTTCAAGACTTAGTGGAAAACACTTGTTCAGTGAGCCTAGTTGATCATGGCGGAGACTTGAGAATCTTCGAAGACACAGCTTCGTTTAACGACGCCCCCTATGAGTCAAGCAAGACCTGGGATAAATAAAAGCAACATCGCGGTCGTTGCTTGCAGCCGCAATGCCAGTGGTGCGTGCTTACAGAATCAGGTTGGACCCCTACGCCCCAAAGCCTCTGTGCTGCCCGGGCCTGCCCATTTACTATGTTCGCATGTTCGTCCTGTTCCATCGCTGACAATTAGGCGCGGACGCCGCAGGCAGCATTGCCAGGGTCGCTGGGCATCCTGCACGGAGGGGCCACGGTCTCAGTGGACACAGTCCGGTGGTGCTTACTGCTGGAAGTGTCGGTAATACAGGCTTGGGCAGCTATATTGTCCAAGCAGAAGTTCTGCCCAAGTGTAAGAGGGAAGCGTGAGTATAAGTATTGTACTCTTATTTCTGCTGTACGAGATGTGGCCGCATGTGGTCGTCATGCTTTTCCACGCAAGTTTTGCATTCCAGAGACCCCTCTCTTTGCTTCTGTCTCGACTGATGCACGGTGCGCATGAAAGCGTGCGCCTTTGAAACTAGGATCTTGTGATAGGTGTACTGTCATTGGTACAACTTTGGAAGAGTCGGACCTGGGCTAGCCTGCCCATCCTTGCTGATCAAGCGCCCGGCATCAAGTCTGGGAAGCTCGTGGGAACGCTCCGACAGCTGACGTTATTGTCGCGAAACGTCTGTGCCCATGTCTTGGAGCTCCGGAGAGGGTTTCAAAAGGGGTTGCTCGCTGTCACGGTTCGGCTGCCAATACAGAACAGGATATCGATATCCTCCGGTGTATTGCATCAGCTCAGGCAGTGACATAATACAGGTCCCTTCTTGTGTAAGAGTACAGGTGTAATAACGGTCATCACCCATCTTGCCAATACACCGGAGGATATCGATATCCCGTTCTGTATTGTAATGGTCCGTGTGCCTTCCCAATACACCTGCTCCTTCCTAGGAAGCTAAGTATTGGCCAGAATAGGATATCGATATCCTGTTTTGTTTCTTAGCCCGTTCGTCCCCTTTCTCAGACTCAGTCAGCTCTACGCGACTCTACTTTGCACTTGAATCTGGCGCGGCCTCTGCCCAGGCAAAAACTTCTCTATTTCAAGACGAGGCACGGTCGGTCTGCGAGCCGTTGCACAGTTCTGGCGCATGCAAGCATTGTGCATTCTTCCCTCTCACTGCTGCCACACAGTCAGACTCGTGAGTCCTCACGCTTTTTCTTCCTTGCTCATGGCGCCCCCTCCTAAGAAGAAGGCCAAGACTGGTGCGACCGTGACCGACAATGGCGAGTTGTTGGTCAACTCGCCTGAGGCCCCTTTGGGTGTTCACCCGACTCAAGTTCCGGCTCCGCCGCCACCGGCGCCGACTGTGCCAGCGGAGAGCGAGTCCGCCATGCCGTTCTTGAAGAAAATGCTGCCATGGCTGTCGCACCGACTGTTGGATGCCGGAGCTGGCGGCGGACGGGTCGAGTCTGACGAGCCTGGCGCAGCTGCAGCCATTGAAGATTGGCAATCAGAAAGGCTTCAAAGAATTGTACGCCATGGACAACATGGCGGTGGCCTTGCGGTCAATGAACCTGTACGAGGCCGGCTTCACCCTGTGGATGGCAGACCTGCGGCCCGTTGAGGACGAGGACGAGGAACTCTGGTCTGTCTACAACGAGTTCATCGACAAGGCCAAATTTGTAGCTACAAAAAAAGGGGGGGGTCCGTTGAACTCACTTCTGTGTTTGTGCCAGGTCTTCCACAACACAGCAGGTGTCATCTTGTTCCCAATGACGCTGGCGGTGTGCGTCGACAGCGTGCCAGCTCATAAGCCGTGCAACATGCCCATCATAGCGGGGCGCAAAGTGGCCCTGGGTTTGGCCTGTGCATTGACACAGTCGCTGATGACCAGCAACGACAACCTCACCAAAGATCTGTTGAAATGCAGCCTCTCGGTCAGCATGCGCATGCACATGGGACTGTCCACAGAGGACAAGACAGCCTGACCAGCAATGCTCTGAGCATTTAAGTTCCCACATGGTTGCTAACTAGACCTGTTTTGTTTCCACGCAGGACAAGCTTAAGCTTCAGACATCCGAGAACTTGCGCTGGAAAAGCGTCGGGAACTTGGTGAAGGACACATGGCTGTCCTGGGCCCGAAGAATGTTGCGGCTCATCAAGTTGACTGGACAGAAGCTCGCAGCCAGCGAGAAGGGAGCCCAGTGGCTGCAGGGGCTTGGCGTTGCGTGGAACGGTGCGATGAACAAGAACGTGGCCCAGGCATTGGCAAGCATGCAGAACACATTGTCGGAGGAGTCTATGCTTCTTCTGCGTGAGTTGGAGATGAGGCACACACCAGCTGTCCTCACAGACGATTATTCCAAGCTGGCCAGGGTCTTGAAGATCGTGACCGGCTGCAGCGCATTGAACGAGTTGGGCATCTCCCCGGATGAGGGGTTTCAGTACGTGGTAAAGGCAATGATGCTGGCCATGGATCGCGGCATTGTCACTGCCTCCTTCTTCTCGGTCTCCGTCCTGGATCCAGGCTCTGGCAAGAATGGGTGGTGTGCTGTGTCGCTAGGACGGGCGAGAACCACCCTGTGGATCCAGAACATCGTCGGCCACATGAAGGACTCAAAAGCTAAGGAAGAGCTGCAAGACTTGCTGCCTACCTTCCTGGATCCTCTGGCGTTCGACAAGGCCCTGCCGTGTTCCCACTGCTTGCATAGTACTCGCGAGTTCCCATGTTGCGGGGTCTCCTGGTTCGGCTAGCAAGCGTGTGCCAGTGATACCTGCCCTTTCAGGCCTATCCAGAGTTGGACACCGAGAAAGGCGACACGGAGTCCATGCTCACCGTGGCCATCAACAGTGCCAAACACGCGTGTGCAAAAAAACTCCTTCAGGTCCTCCACGACGTGGCGTTGGGGATGCACGACGAGGCCGTGAGTATCCTTCTGGCCGACAACCTCGAAAAAAAACTTGCAGCGCATCAGCAGGAGAACGAAAAAACGGTGGAGTTCTTGAATGCGATTGATGCGCTGGTTCTCTCTTTGGACCAGGCCCTCTCTTCCACAGAGAACGTGGCGCACCACTCAGGCCCGCCAGCGTTGTCTCTGCGACAACTGGCCAAGACAGCGAGTGACCCGATGGAACCTGGGAAGCTGGCAGAGAGGGCAGATGCATGGAAGAAGGCACAGACAGCGCGAAGGCGCCTGGTTCAATTTGTGACTCCGGGGGGTAAGACAGACCTCGTCAAGAATATCGAGCGATTCAAAAAGAACAGCAAGGTGAGATTCGGATTGAACGACAAACATGTTATCTACACGCTGTGTTTGGACTGCGCTGGCGAGTCCTGCAGCACCCGAACGAATCCCCCGTGGAAACTCCCCGGGCAGACCGGGAAGGTGGAGGGTGCAGGTCGCTCAGACTCAATCTAAGTTGAGCATCATACTCGTCGTAAATATTGCTACTATGACCAATCGCCACCTTATTAAGGTCTGGAGACAACCTGGGAGTTTCTGAACACCATGACCCAGGAGCCCTTCGAGACTCTGTTCATCTTTGATGGCAGGAGCCGTTGTCGCCGCCGCCTTGCGGCCACGAAGGTCACTAACGAGGACTTGCTCTCCGAGGCTGTGCTGTTCTTCGTGCCGAAGAAAAAGGGCAACGAGGAGGAAAAGGAGGAGAGGGTCAGGCGCACAGTTCTGTCGCAGCAGTTGCACGAGACTGTCCTGATCAGATTCGGAGCATCCCGGGCGAAGATCGAGTCTGGAGGGGCCTTGTATGGCACCGTCACCGACAAGGTGTTGATGCCGAGTCACCTGCCCAGGATTCGGCAGAGCTCGAAGCGTACCCTTCTCAACATCAAGGACGACGACATGCCCATGGCACCCCCCGGCATGGGTGACGATGAATCAGTTCCGCTTTGGTGGGGAGAATCAAAGTCAACGAGCTTTTGGGAAAGCTGGATCCAAAGCTGGAAAGGCGCCCTGGTCATCGACCTCAAAGCAACCACGCAGTTGCCCATCACGTGCTTGAAGCTCGGGGTGCCATACCTCGGCATCACAGCCAACGAGGTGGCTGACAGAGATTCAGAGTAGAGCAAATACAATTAAAACGTTCAAGGTTTGTTCGAGCGGAGGGTGTGAACCTGCTCAGGAGCACTTGGTGTTCATGAACAACATCACAGATCTTCACGCTCTTCAATCCATGATCAAGCAAGGGCATTGCTTGTACGAGCAGGATTTGGCGAGTTGCATCAAGTCCTTGTTCGAGGACGAGCTGTCCGGAGTGCAGGAGAAGATGCCAGACCTTGAGGATGACGAGGACTAAGTGTGCCTGACTGTTCTGGCAGGGTGCAGGCCAAACTCAGTCGATAGCTTGAGCTAAGATTGAAATCCTTGGAAATTAATCCCTATCTCGCGCTGTCGACATTTTGATCGGCCATTTTGGCACCCTGCGCATATTCGTCGACATGGGCTGGTGCAGGGCCCTTCGTTTAATTGTCTTACCAGGCTCACGTTTCCCAGAACTGCTGGGACTGGCCAGATTCATCCATCAAGCTTTCTTCAGCAGCAGGTTCCTGGGGCCCGCCTCGAACTGACTGTCCTGGCCGGCCACGTCTTGTGTTATTGTCGAGAAGTCACTCGTTGTAATCATTCTCACACTTGAAGACTTCTGTTTGCAGTCCTTAAGTGCTCGGAACCAAGTCATAAGCCAGAAGCATTCACACCAGCCGAACCTTGTTCCATTTGGCCGGCCCTGCCACACTGAGCTGTGTGCCTGCTCGGAAGCTGTGCAAAATGAGTGGTCAGCCGAGCTTTGAGCCGCATCACACGACATGGTCAGTAAGTTTTAAGCCAACTTCCGGAGGCCACGGACCGTGGTCGGCGACCCACCATGTGACACGCTTCGCTGCAGAGGCCGCCTGCGTCAGCTTGTTGTGATGGCTGCTTGTAATGCTACAGCCATGTGGGGTTACCGCCCTCGTGTTTGCATTTGCAGGGTTTGCTTGAGGAACCTGCACGTCCAAATAGCACTCCTGAGTGTGTGTGTGTGTGTGTGTGTGTGTGTGTGTGGGTTTGTTGGGTTTGTTTTCGGAACCAGCATGATCAAATCACGTACAATGTTGATGACATAGACTGTTGAATTATTTACAGTAGAGCTACTATGCGGCGACAGCAATCTTGTGTAAGCATAATAGTACTCTTTACAACCGTTACCATTAATCTTATTATGATTGGGTTTTATGTGCTGCAGACATACAATGAGTAACAATAACTTCAGCTGCTACACGCTGACATCCGCCAGCGGCTACATTCGCCAGCGGGTACCCGCCGGCGGGTGCCCGCCGGACCATTACGCAACGCATTCGAGACAAGCGCTTTCAGGTTTAGTCGAACCTGAAATACCCCTATACTTGTTTAGGTCTAGGGTTTAACTACATAAGCTCGGTTTAGCCAAACCAAAAGTTAAAGTTGAGCTCCGGCCGGTACCCGCCGGCGGGTGCCCGCCAGAGCCGGGCTTAGGTAAACCCCAACTAAGTATTAACTAAGCTCAGGTTCAACCAAACCTTAAACTCGGGTTTAGCTATGTTACTACTACGTTCCTTTGAAGGTTTGTTATGTAGGGTGGCTATCTCGGTTTGAGCCCTGGCGGGCACCCGCCGGACCATTACGCAATGCATTCGAGACAAGCACTTTAAGGTTTAGTTGAACCTGAAGTACCCCTAGTTGTTTAGGGCTAGCATTTAGCTACATAAGCTCGGTTTAGCCAAACCAAAAGCTAAAGTTGAGCTCTGGCCGGCACCCGCCGGCGGGTACCCGCCAGCGGGCACCCGCCAGCGGGTACCCGCAGGCGCCTGGCGGGTGCCCGCTGGCGGGTGCCCGCTGGCGGGTACCCGCCGGCGGGTACCCGCCGGCGGGTGCCCGCCAGAGCCGGGCTTATGTAAACCCCAACTAAATACAGGTATTAACTAAGCTCAGGATCAACCAAACCTTAAATTCGGGTTTAGCTATGTTACTACTACGTTCCTTTGAACGTTTGTTATGTAGGGTGGCTATCTCGGTTTGAGCCCTGGCAGGCATCCGCCGGACCATTACGCAATGCATTCGAGACAAGCACTTTAAGGTTTAGTTGAACCTGAAGTACCCCTAATTGTTTAGGGCTAGCATTTAGCTACATAAGCTCGGTTTAGCCAAACCAAAAGCTAAAGTTGAGCTCTGGCCGGCACCCGCTGGCGGGTGCCCGCTGGCGGGCACCCGCCGGCGGGTACCCGCCGGCGGGTACCCGCCGGCGGGTGCCCGCCAGAGCCGGGCTGATGTAAACCCCAACTAAATACAGGTATTAACTAAGCGCAGGTTCAACCAAACCTTAAATTCGGGTTTAGCTATATGTTACTACTACGTTCCTTTGTAGGTTTGTTATGTAGGGAGGTTATCTCGGTTTGAGCTCCGGTGGGCACCCGCCGGAGCTCAACCCTAACTTTGGTTTGGTTTAAGCTTTAATTTCAGGTAGTCTGTTGTGTAGGGTGCTTGTCTCGAAAGCATTACGTAGTGCGACGCTCGTATGCCCAGGTTTCCACTCCGATCTCTCCATGAGCCCGGTCCAAATTTGACAGGCTCGTTTCAGGGTGTCGGGTGTAGAGTTCAAGGCTTCGTGCGCTCGTGCTCTTTATGGCCTGAGCTAGGTTTAGGAATTGCAAAGTTTTTTGGCTTCGGTTATAGCACAACCCACACGTGCCGAGGGGTACCCGCCGGGTTTAAAAAAACATTGAAACAAACAGAACACTTGTGCAGTATTATATATGTGCTGCAGACACATAAAGCACATGCAATAGGTAGCAGTTAGCTACTGCTACTGCTACTGCTACTGCTACTGCTACTGCTACTGCAGCGGCAGCTGCTGCTGCTGCTGCTGCTGCTGCTGCTACTGCTACTGCTACTGCTACTACTGGTCCGCCACTCCGCGACAACAAGGCATCCCCGAAATGCTGGGCAATTGCTTGTTTGATTAGGTTTAAAGACAAGAGGAGAGTCTTTCCGTAGGAGTTTGACACTGGCTGAGTTCGCGTATTGGAGTTTGCTACTGTTACTGTTATGTGATAGATGCTGTGTACTATGTTATCAGAAGGTAGTGTATCTAGGGGCTACTCATCTGTGTAAACCTGTAGAAATTCTAGTAATTACACCGTGAACGTGCTTCATTCCTGCACTGTCAGTTGCATTTGGGGCCCAACTGTAGTGCTGAAACAGATTCCAGACATCGCGACCATTTTAGAAAGGAGAGGCCGGCAATTTAGTGTGAGAAAGCCACTCTATTGAAGGTTTTGTAGCATTGCTTCTGCAGCCCATCACACATGGCGTTGTTCGAGACACGCCATCTCATCCGGCGCAACCGTACCCCTTCGCCTTCACCGACTCCTTCCCATCATGAGATTGCCAACATTGACTCAGCCGCTGCCGTCTGTGCAGCTCCAGACTCAGAGTCATCAGAGGGTGGCACTCTGAAAGGTCCTCCATCTTTGGGTGGCGGCCAACTGGTTGCAGCTGCAGGTCAGGCGTTCGGCTCGCTCAAATCTGGACAAGGAGTGGCGCCCCTCGAGTTGTGCCCATCCGATGAAAACTCTGAGGCCTCCCGAGAGGCGCTCAAGGAGCGGAAGCGGCGCAACGAGGCAGAGCGCAAGAAGAAGGACGACAAGAAAAAAGGCGGCCCTGAAACGATCGTCCGGCCTCGCTTGCAGAAGGACGTTTGGCGACGCATGGTGGAGCGAGACCAAAAGTTTGATGAACTTGAGCAAGAGGTCTTGTCGTGGCGTGCTAAGAAGCCCAAGCTGCAGAAGCTCGAACAAGATAATAAGATTCTGACGCAGGCATTAGCAACTATGGAGAAGCAGTTGAACCATTATAAGAAATGATCTTGTCGACAAGTGGCAAAGCAGAAAGCTTCGCTGCAGTTCCTGTTCTGTCCATCGTCTTGGGCCCAACACTGATGACTGAAGAAATCCAATCTAGTGCTTGTCTTCTACGGGCACACGGATGCTGGCCAGAACACAAGCCATGGCCATGGCACACGATCGCCTCTGCGACAAGAAAACATATCTTCCGGGGCCCCTGGGGTTCATGGTCTTGCTGCTCTTCGTCTTCGGGCATTAAGGGTTGCGACTGTATCATTGTCTGAGAGTGCAGAGGCTCTCATTGTCTGGATTTAAGTACCATGTCGCGGCGGTAGCTGATCAACGCTTATGTTTATAAACCTATATACTCTCCTGCCCGCTGTACTAGTAGTGCGGCCTGTCTTAGTATCAGTGCTACTCCTCATGTTGGGCTCAGTTCGCATGTTGGGAGTATCGGCTGTGGGGTCTGGGATGGTTTAGGGTTGATGGTCACAGTACGGCATTGTGGTGTATCATTGAATGGAACCCAAAGGGGCGACCGAAAAGCTCGACCCAAAGCCTCCAAACCCCTGGACCTCGACATGACTACAACCTTGGATTGGATCTCGAGGTTCCTGACTAGCTGGCTGGAAACGGGAAGCAGGGAAATCCTATGATATATTTGCACAATAAGGACCCCGTGCTTTGCGATGAAAACCTCACCCGTCAACGTAAACCCTGTGCTCCCTAAGCCCAGCACCGAATCGATACCAGGTGTCCATCACGGCCGCTACGTGGCCCTAGATTGCAGCGCACGGGCCCAAATGTGCGAAGCTTCTCCTGCGCAGCCTGCTGTCTAGACTCGTGACTTTCTGTTTTTGGTGCAATCTTCACCACGGTGTCCGAGCACATTCTGTTCTTCCAAGCATGCAGACCGTGCATTGAACATCGTGGTCTTGGAGCAGTGTTGGCTCAGAAAGGTCGGCGGATGAATTTACAGCACATGGCCGACCAAAACCATGCCTTTCAGACTAGCGTGTCTATGCCAAGTTCTTGGTTCAGAGCATCTGCCATCAACTGATGAAGTAGCCCAGGCTTAGATTGACTTCATTCTGAGTCCCTTGTAGCTGGTATTCTGTTTGACTGAGTCGTAGCAATTGATGGATGCCCGGAGGCAAATTCTTTCTGCATGGCAGTCCCTTTATGATACTGGCGGGAACCAGAAGTCCCCATCGTGTCAGTCTTCATCGAGCTCAACAAAGAAATCGCCAGTGGATCAGTCAAGGTCAGCTAAGAAATCCCCGGCATGTCCATCCAAGCGCCAGCGAGGCAAGGAGAAGACATCTGAACCCGAGGACCGTCCATCCGCATCCAGCGGTGGGAAACGCCGAAGCGACGGCCGATTGTGGTGGGCATCCGGCCAAGTGCCCGAAGCAGAACTGAGGGCCATGAATGAGAAGGAGCACAAGGCCCTGCACCCATCGCCGGTGGACAACTGCGCACGGTGCCGCTTCGACATGATGCAGCCCATGTGGACAGCAGACGGCGGGCAACTTGTACGATTTGCTTTTACGGAGTGATTTTTTTTGGTTAGCATTGTGTGCCCTTACCATTACTAGCTGCCCTAGCTGCGCAGTGAGGCCTGGGACGGAAGTCATGACCGTGCAAGGGCGACGGAAGACCGTCCGGTGGTTGACAGCGAGACCGGCGTCCTTCGGGCCAGGCAAATGGGGAATAGGTTGCAGCCTGTGCGCTGCAATGCTGCACTCCAACGGAGTACAGAAGCCAGGAGACTTGGCATGCATGAGAGTAAGTGCCTTGAGGATTTGCATTCTGCAGGTGGGTTGGTTAGTTACGAGGGTGATCTTGCAAGCCACGAGGGTACGACGCTCGATCATTGTCAGGGATGCAACCAGAATCCCCTCAACCCTTTTATCAACCCCAAGAGCAAAGCATTGGACATTTGTTCTGACCGCGATTCGAGGTAAAAGCCGGCGACACTGCACCAAATGGGGCAGGTACGAAATATTCAGCCTATCGATGATGCAGGCCAGCAGCTTGCGGCTGCACTGCACCAGAGCGGTCCACAAGCTCGCCAAAGCTGCGTACTTGAAGCCAGACGCACCGCTGGAAACGCTGGCGCTGAACAACGACGAAGCTGGCCTCTTTCGGGGTTGCGTCCCTCAGCTGGAGGATTGGCTGGTAGTTTGGCAGTCAGTTCATGGATCTTTCAAAGAAGCTGCTCAGCACCTCTCCACCGCACGGTGGTTGGCCAGCAGCCGTGGCAAGGAGAAGGTGTCGGAGAAAGCAGCCGTCAGGATGGTCCAAATCATGGCAGAGGCTGTGCGAGTGCGGCACCGTGCGGTGCTGCGCAAAGCAGCCGCCATCACCTTGCAGACAGACGACAAGGGCCGATGGCGTACTGTCCGCTTCAAAGCTTCCTACTTTGATGAGCACGGAAAGGCGCTGCAGGGTTCTGCACTTGTCCCAAAGCTCAGTGCTTCCCTGTAAGCGATTCTCGTAGTGAGCAGAGTAGTGTCTCTAAAAGGCCCGGTTTGGCTACTCCCTACTGAATACTTTATCTGGTAAATTCATTCCGGGTGCACCAGGACCCGAGGTTGCGGTCGCTGACACGGCATGGGTCAGGTTTTTCAGGCAGTTTTGTTGGGTTGCGGTCGCCCGGGCTTGTTTGGGTTATTTAGTTTGTTAGGGTTTGGAGTTACACTTTGCGTTTTGCCCAAAAATCATGTGCTTTGTCATTTCACGCGGCAAAGTGTTTCACAGGAACAAAGCATGAAGCGAACAAACGTTAGACCTAGATGGAGTGTATAAGGGTAGGTGTTGGGATTCCTGTTGTGGGGTTTGGGATGAGGGTCCCGGTTTAGGGGTTCAGGGTTTCTGGGTAAGCGGTCGTTCCGTGGTAATTCCTGGGTTTTGCTGTTTGAGACGGGGGCATCGTGTTTCTCTAGGTAACAACCATAACAAGCAACAGCGAAGACACTAAAGAACCGGCTAAACCGAAATCCACTGTCCCCTTCTTTTTTACCTAAGAAGTTGCAGTTGCAGCCCGTCCAAGTCACAGCTCGGAATTGAAACACAAGCTAAGTCATACAGATATAGTTACTATATTTATGTCTTTGTGTATATATAAACTATACATATGTATAGAAATGACAGAGGTAATTGCAAATTCTCGGAGTGGTAGGCAGGAAGCAGCTCTCTTAACCGGATTGTAGAGTTCAGGTCCAAAAACAGCTGGCCATCTTATTGACCCTTGAACCAATGTCAGGCATGCACGCACCGCGGTCTTCTGTCGGTGCATGCGCACTTCAGCAAAAGGTTGGGGGACTTGGAGGAAGACTACGGCGTGAGATTCGCAGCCTTTCTGAAGGAGGCTTTGGTGGCCTTCTGCACTTGCCTTGGCGAGCAGCAGCGGGATGCGGAGCTGTATGAACACCTGGTTCAGCACATCGTGGGCATCTATGGCGACGGAGCTGTGCAAAAGAGTTTAGCCTATCTCCGAGAGACTTGCCTTTGTGGCATGACACTCATGTAGATAAGTTTGCGCGCGATACTGCACGGGGGCGGCATCTGCTCAGTATAGCATCTCACAGCGGACCTTGCGTTGAATTTCAGAGGCTTGCGTGCTATGTCTTATCAAGCATTTTTGCTAATTCCCCTGCGTAATCAGTCTCAGGAAGGATTTCCAAAGTGCTGGTCCATCGCCCGTGACACGTGTCATGCACAACGGACGGCGACCGGGGATCCCATCAAGAGGAGCTCTGTGTTTGGAGAACGGTACCGCCAGGTATGGGCAGGCGCAGGAGGGCTTTTCCCGGCTGTCCATCATTCCGTGCCATGGCCGATTTGCTTGCAGACATTTGAATTATTGTTTGTTCACATTAGATATGGACGGGACGTTGGCGATCCTTTCACCGTTGTGACTTTGCCAATATTGTGCAAGGGCTGTTCTGGCAGTATCTAATGATTGCTAGCTTCGCAGCAGAGGAAAAGTGGAAGAGTGAACTGGTTGTGGCACAGGCGGCCATGAGAGACAAAGCCCACGTGGGCCTGACAACGCTGCTTCGTCAAGTGGGCGCAGTCGAGTGCAGGTACGAAAGTACAGCTGCTTCCGCAAGGCACTTCGTGTGCCTTCAGGGCGCAATTGCCTTGATCCTCGCAGCCAGGAGTGCCTCGGGATGTATGCAACGCATAACATAAGCTTTGGCAAGTGAGCTTCGTTATTAAGTGTGCGAGGCATTACAGGCTAGTTGGAACAGTTGAAAAGTATGAGTCCTAAGGTCAGGACACACGGCTCGCTGCGCCAGAACGCCTTCAGGCAAAGACATGGCTGGAAAGTCTTGGCACGGAGGCTGCAGTAGAGGCGGGGCTCATCGGAGACTGGAGCACGGTGGCCTTGACATACATCAGACAAGACGACAGAGCAGATCCGGACCCTGCCGTGGCTCTTCGCCACAAAGAAGACTATTTGGAGAGAGTCCACAACCTGTTTGTGCGAGGCCAGATCGTGTTCCAAGCCAGCTCCGATGACCAGACTTGCTTTGCCACTGCCGTCCAGTTTGCCAAGGCCATTCCTCCAATCTATTACGGCTGCCAGGTGAAGGTGTTGTGGCAGGAGGAACTGGCGGCGGAGTCCTGTGCCAGAGCTATGATCCACATGAAACAGGTTGCCTTGGAAGCGTCAGGCCGCCTCCAAGCTGAACTGGAGCACTCTTTGATCATGGATTTCGCTTGCTTCGACCTTGCTCTCTGGCAGCGATCACAGGAGATGCTTGTCGGGCCGAATCCAGACATAGAGGGTCATTCGGTCCTGACAGGCAATCTCTGGAGCCGTCTTTCAAGTTTGCTGCGAGCTGGCAACAAGTTTGACAGAGAGCATGTCGGCGAGGCCAAAGAAGAACTCAGCAGCGTAGCGCTGATGCTGCTTCGGGAGCCTGGTTCTAAATTGCGGAAACATGCCCCTGGCAGTTGTAAGTTAAGTTCTAGGCCCAGGAATGTGACAGTGCATGCAAAGTTGCAGCATTGCAAGAAGCTTTTAACTGTCCAAGGATTTCCGCAAAGCCCGCGACCGATGTGGGGAGGGGGACGCCGACAACCGTGAGTTCTGGATGCGAGCAGCTAGCCCATCCTTCGCATCCAAATTTGGTCGCGAACTCCGCTTCCTGAAAGAGCCCATCATGTGGTATCTTGCAACAGAACATGCGTCTGGGACATGTGAACGCACTTTGAGTTCCGCAAAGCGGGCAGCACAGGCCCACTCCGGCCCCATCGCTGAAACTACCTTGGACGATGTAACTTGTCTGTGTCACTGTCTTGATCAGGCTTTGGCTTGAGTAGGATGTCTACTTAATTTCCGTTCTCAGAACGACGCTTCAGTTAAGGAGGATTGTTTAATTTGATATGCTTTCGGACATCAGCCAAGGCACTCTTAGCCATACTGGACGGACCACAGATTCGAGAGGATGTGGTCGAAAAGACGGACTCGAATGGGTTCAGGATGACTGCCTGGTCAGAGTCGTTCGCCCGGCTATGGCTGCAGCTCCAGGGGCGGCGGTTTTGTGCATACAACCGCCGCCATGGCCCGGAGCTTCCAAGAGCTGAAAAGAAGGGAACGGATGCGTCCATCAAACGTTCTCAACTACGCGCCCTTCGAGACTTGGGCCGGCGCTTGGCGGGCCGACGGAGGCCTCTACTGCGTGCAGATCCAAGATTCCAAGTGAATGAATAGTACCCTTTGCTGCTTTTGGCTTGTAATATTGGACTCCCGTCGCGCCTGAAATGAAGACAGCCGTAACACTTTAGAACCCAGAAGCCCAGAATCCCAGATTTAGGAAAAGTCCGTATTATTCTACATCTAATTAATGGGGGCCGAGGAGACCTGCTTGGTGACGAGAGCCAGCTGGAGGACACCAAAGCCATGCAGAACTTTCGGAAGCGGACGGCCTCGCGCGGTGAAGAACTTCGCCGGAGCAAGCATGCTGCTGTCTTCCGAGCCACCCCTCGGCTCCCTGATCCTCGGTCATGTGTTTTGTTCGGGAACGAGCCCGCGCTGCGATCTCGGAAGCCGGAGTCCTTCTCGCAGGCCTTTACCTGAGCAAAATGCACCTTCGTGTTCCGGACATTTCTTACTGCATTTCAAAAGAGAAATGAAGCCCAGGCCTAGTTATTTACTATAAGTATACATCCTATTGAAAACAAAAGACAGTTCAAGGCTAGCTATTTACATTGAATCCTAAGCCCCTAAGCCAGCACGGAAGGTGTTCAAAGCGTGTTCGGGCAATGTTGAACTTCATGCCGGCGCCCGCCTCGTGCCGAACTTGGTGGAAGCCATGAAGCAGCGTGCTTTGGTGATTGTTGGCAATGTCAGTGCCTTTCAAAGCGCCCTGGAAGTGCCGCTGACTTTGGCTGTTGCAACTGCCGGCCTGAGCGTGTGCAACAAGACGACGTATGAAGCCAACGACGACGCAGTGCTGATCCATTTTGCAAAGAAGAAACAAGTAGCATATGTGTCGGAGAAAGTGCTGCAAGACAATCCTGCTCTTGCAGCTGTCGTGGAAGCGGGCTTGGAGATGGGCACGCTGGTCATGGGCCAGAAGCCTGCGGACAAGAGAGAGGCGGACTCCGTGACGGTGGATTCATTTTGGCAAGCCCGATCCGTGGCCAGACAGCTGCTGAGCGTCAAGCGCAGAACGGAAACTGTCAGCATGCCTGGCGTTGCTTTGCAAGATGGGCGCCCCACCACGAAGGAGTCCTTGCGGGCGCAGTTGCAGCGCATGTTCGTTTCTCGACCCTGATTGCCCGTCCGAATGAGGGACAGCCTGGTCGGTTTCACTGTTTCACGGGGCAGGGCAGGGACAGGTCACGCTGTCATGAAGGTGGATGGCTGTCCTTCATGTTTACAAATCACTAGATCACTCCCCAGAGAAAAAAAGGCCAGACCCTCCACCTGGCAGCCCATGGCCCAGGACCTGCAAAAGGTTGGGGCTTTTGCTTGGAGCAAGCGTGCTCAGACCCAGTCAGAGAGCCAGGAATATCGCAGAAGACAATGATGATTAATCTGATTAACCCGGAAGATGCACAGCAGTTGTTGCAAATATGTTTAGATCAGTGGATTGGCGAGTTCTGAGGGCCGCTCCAACTGCGAACTCGGGGGCGCTGGGGAAGAAACAAGTGCGATATCGAATAACTGACACGGGGTGATTCGCAGGAGGATCTTTGAAGCTTTGGAGTCGCATTGCCGCCACTGTTGTCAAGGTCTTTCATGACACAGATGGACGTCGAAGCAGACATTGATCGCCCTTCGGACCGAGCCTCAGCTTCCAGATTAAGGCTTTTCCCCCGCTTTTGCATGGGTAACCGTGGGATGTGAAGCTTCTGCCTGTTATGCACAAGATTGGGATAAACTGCCACGACGATGCATCCGCACTCCAACTGAGGCGATGGTGGTCGTCGACGTGGTCTTCGAGCTGGGTCTATTTATGATGCATTGTATACTGTATACCCCATTATAGAAAATTACCCCCTACAGAAAAGATTTTTCGTGCTAGCCCAAACACGAACCCAGTATTCCTCAGGACCTTCCTAGCTGGGGTCAAGTTTGCAAACTGAGTGCACGCTTTGCTCAGAGCAAAGCCGACCTCAACAACGAGATCCTGTGGCCCCTCACCGTCTACTGCCTCATGTCCACGCCCCCGGACGTCGATGCCTATCCGATGACCATGTTTTGCATCAGTGGTCATGGCTTGGTTTTCGCTTGGTATGTTGCCATGTTCAAGGCCTTGGAGGCTGCAGACTTGGGATACATTCGCCAGCTCTGGCGCTGCGGCCTGAGCGCCTCGATCACCCTCCACTGGACAAGCGTGCCACGGCAGATTTTGATGGTGGCTTTGTCGGCGTCTGAGAACTATGGGAGCGCGGAAGACCTAGTGGAAACATTCCCGGTGTTTGCCCAGCGCGTCGACGCCTTGCTTGCTGAGGGCGGCAAGTCGGCGTCGAAGTTGGATGACCGAGTCGACTACTTGAACGAGAAGAATGTCAAACACAGGGGCAACGTTTTCAACAAGGGCTTGCTCAATGCCTGCATAGCAATGCGGAGATTCTCGCCAAAGGCCTTGGCCACTTTGCGCAAGATCTCCCATGAGCATGGGAACGCGGTGTTGACGGACGGGTACGTCAAACTGGTCCGATTATCCCAAACTGCGAGCACGACCTGCGAGGCCAGCTTGTCATGTGGTAGTAGCGAGTTTAAACGTTCGCGCAAGTGTGCCGTTTGCTTGCTTACATAGATTGCAGGACGACCTTGTCACGGAAGCCATTGAGTGGACCGTGGAGTCGGCCTACGTCGCTTTGTCGCGTGCGGACTGCAAGGTCGACTTCTTCAAAACGCAGCACCTGGAGTCCTCCAAGGACAAGTCTCAGGCTGGCTGGTTTGTGGTGACCTTGCAGAAGTTCATGCTCGTTCACCATCTCCTGACGCTACCGGCCAAGTTGGAACTTCCGCTGCTGTCCGATGCGTTGGAAATGGTGTCCACACCGTCGGCGTGGGACCTCAACTTCCCCAAGGTCGAGACGGAGGATGCGGAGTCGGAGGAGACCAGCAAAGGGGGCCCTGAGGCCATCGCCCGCCTGGCCAAGTTGACGGAGGAGCAGAAAAGCTTCTTCAGCTTTGTGAGAAGCATCCTGGAGGGAGACTTCAACGAGGACATGAACGGCGTCTGTGGCGGCAAGAACTTCAAGATGGTCGACGAGATTTACAAGGAGGCTACCCCACACAAGAAGTTGGAGGTTTTCACGGAGTTCAACACGGTGTTGAAAGGCCTGAGTGCCGTGAAGGTCCATGCCGCGACGTCGGAGTCGAGCGCTCCTAGCTTGAGTGTGAAGTCCTTGGCCAGGTTGAAAGACGAGGAGTCCCAGGACGCCCAGAAGATGGAGCGCCAGGCTATTTGGGCCAAGGCCCAGGCGCAGCGGAGGAAGCTCGTGAACTTCGCTGTTGCGTCAGATTTGGCAACGGCAATGGACAAGCCTCAGGCGGAGTCGGTTCGGTCCATGACTGGCAAACTGAATGAAAGCCACAGGTTGTTTGTCATGTCGCTCGACTTGGTGTCGGAGTCGAGTGCCACCCCGTGGAGCACGCCCAGTGCAGTCGACAAGGCTGAGGTGCAGAGACTCTACAAGTTCATGGAGAAGCATGCGACACGGGAGTCGGACTTCATCCTTGCATTCTGCGGCAGGTCGGCGTCGAACCGACGAATCTTGGAGGACTCCCTCAACGTGCTCAATTGCCCTTCGACCGTCACGGAGATGTGGGTCGCATACTATGGCAACTTAGCTGGCTTCAGCTCATGTCAATTAAAGCATGCAGGAGTTCTTGCAGCCAAATATAAGGCAAGGACGACGAGCGGCCCGGTCGAAAGGTGTTCGGGGGCGCGCCCCATCGGGAGGTCGGGTTCTTGAAGGGCATGGTGGCGCGTGTTCGACTCACGACGAAGGATCGCCAGGCGACGGCTCTGATTCGTTTTAAGTCACGTGAGATGTAGCAGCTCCAGGCAGCTAGGATTGGTGTGATCACAAGTCAAGCCCTTGCCCTTTGCCAGGACGACTTTATCCCCACAGAGCAGGGCGCGGGGTCGAGTTACGAAAGTGGGTTCGTCGGCGTCGGTCTCCCAGCTCTTGGCTCTCTCCCAATGATCACGGGGTCGGACAAGAAGAAGGTCTTGTCCCTGAGCACCACGCCCCCCCAGCCCGCGGGCTGGGGGAGGCAAGGCTTTCCGTTGTTCTGGAACGAGTCGAAGTGAGGGGCTTACTATTATAGTCGGTGTTGCTTGTTTGAAGTTTTCCTCCTTTCTGTCATCGTTGTGGTCCGTGCTCAGGAACCGCGACTTCTGGTCGGCCATCCTCGAGTACACATGCTGCAAGTCGGTGGTCGACTGCACGCCGGGGTCGGGCATGCTAGCAACGCAGTGTCTCGAGGACAACATTCCGTACTACGGGCTGGTCAAGGGCAGCACCCACTTGGCGTGGGTGTCGAACGTTCTCGATTTGGCAGCCTTGAAGATGCCAGGTTGCTCAGGAAATCCTTTGTACGTGGTGTCTGACTATTCCAGGCAATGACGCTGCCCAGTAAATATTGCTATAACCACAACTTAGGATATTGTCGGAGTCAGAGCACCCGCTCTATCAGCAATCCTTGAAAGAGTGCATTGAGCAGCATTTTCAAGACGAGATGATGGACCGCACATTCGAGCTCACAGAGGATGAGTGCAAGGGCCTGCGCGGCGAAGACGACGCTATAAAGGCGTAGATGTCGCGTGAAGTGGCGGCGTCGCTGTAAATTTTACTTTTTGTCATTGCCTTGCAGCATGCAGCCTACAATATATTCCAATCATACTCAGAAAAAAATGACCACTCAGACGAAGGCCAATGATTAGAAGCACTATAAGAATAAGATTGCATTCTGACTTCAACCTGTCCCATCTGCGTTCTGCACAGCTGCGGTTGTGTTAAGTTCAGGCTGCTCTCACCACAGCGTCGTGCAATGTTGCGCGCAAAAAAAGGCAGAACCAGAAAGGAGGGGCGTCAGTTCGCAACATTGCGTTTGTAGCCTCGGTGCACACATCTTGATTGAGACTGTGTTGCACTAAATTCAGGTCATGGTGATGGATGCCGAACAGCGCCTGGCACCCAGAAATACCTGTGACTGTCTTCTTTTAGCCAGCATCGCGTGAGGTTGTGTGCGAAGCTGCTGCTGCAGCAGGACCCGCTGCAGGACAAGGAATTCTTGCATAGTTGCATCGGGCGTGAAGTTGCCTATTTGCGAATACTGTGCCTTCGCAGCTCCGCCGGCTTATTTAAGATGAACAGCATGCATGCCTTATTCGCAGGTCGATACAACCAACAGCATGAATAACCGTGACTACGCACATCCCACGCTAAGGAGTTGTGAAGCATCGCAGATTCCACTTAGTATCGGAGTCGTGCGTCCTAATAAATTGAATGCCCAAGCGGTCCCTCGAAGATGTTTTTGGCCAGAGTCCTTTGCAGCCGAAGCTTGCCCGGGCATCTAAGACCGAGCGCAAGAAGCCGGTATGTGCCCCAGCACAGTTGTCGAAGCCCGGATCAGTCAGTAAGCGCCGAAAGCCCGTACAAAGCCCGGCGTCGAAGACGCTGAGTGTCTCAACGGGGTCGAGGCGGAAGCCTCTGTTGTGCAAGTCAGGCAAGACGGAGGCCAAGAGGAAGCAGTCCGGCAAGAAAACAAAGTGTTTGACGGATGTTTTTTCCAGGTTGCAGAGTTGCGATGATGGTGACGTGGGGGCCATGGATGCGCGGCAGCACGCGGAGCTGCACCCGGACCCGCGCCAACACCAGGACAGCTGCGCACGATGCAGATTCCTGGCGCGAAGGCATCTCTGGGAGGACATCGGGTCGAGCCGTCTGCCTGGGCAATCTGAAAAAGTCAAGTTGCGCTGGCTGGCAGAGCGTCCACGCCATTTGGCCTCCACGTCGGCGTCGAACTGGGGCATTGGGTGCTTGGCCTGCGCAAACTTGATGTCGAGACTGGGTGGCGAGACCAAAGGCACGAAACTCCGTGTCGGCACGAAATGGGCCACCTTCAGCGTCAGAAGCTGGAGCAACATGCAGGCGGAGTCGATCAAGCTTTTGTGCTTGCAGTTTGGCAACTTTGTGGTTTCGTGGTTCAAGGCATTATTCTTCATTTGAAGCGCAAGAATGATTTTTCAGTCAGGAAGCATGCCAGATCAGAGATCCACAAGACCGCGCTGCGGTGCTGGCAGCATCCAGGGCTTCCACAAGCCGTATGTGCACCTTCGTCAGAAGCTCGACGCCTCGATGCACAAAGGGCCCCAGGGTATTTGCTTGAGTCTACCAGTTGTCCCTAAGCTGTCGCGGTTCCTGAAGTTTGCGGTCTACGAGGCTGACTGTTGGACCTCAAAAACTTTGATTATTATGACGAGGTTTACTGTAGAAAATGGGAAGTATTCAAACAGTAGTAATATAAGATATATAATTTATAATACTCATGTTTATTTGGCCCACTTGCATGAACGTTTCCCCTCTTTCTTGCTGGCCCTATCGCCAACTTGCACGAGTGTTTTGCCTGTTTGTTGCTGCCCGTGTTGCCCACTTGCGAATGTTTCGCCTCTTCGTTGCTGGCCCTGTCGCGTACTTCTGCGAATGTTTCGCCTCTTTGTTGCTGGCCCGCTCGTGTACTTGCACGAAAGTTTCGCCTCTTTGTTGCTGGGTCTTAGGCCTACTTGCACGAGTGTTCCGCCTCTTTGTTGCTGCCCCCGTCGCCTGCTTGCACGAATGTTTCGCCTCTTTGTTGCTGGCCCCGTCGCCTACTTCTGTGACCTCTTTGTTGCTGGCCTTGTCGTCTACTTGTGTGAACGTTTTACCTCTGTTGCTGGCCCCGTCGCCTACTTGCGTGAACGTTTCCCCTGTTTGTTGTTGGCCCTGTGGCCTACTTGCGCAAACGTTTCGCCTGTTTTTTGGTGGACCCTGTGGGGTCAAAATGCACGAAGTTTCCCCTCTTTGGGGCTGGCCGTGTTGGCTACTTGCACGACTTCGCCTCTTTGTTGCTGGCCCTGTTGCCTAGTTGCAACGTTTGGCCTCTTTGTTGCTGCCCCTGTCGCGTACTTGTGTGAACGGTTTGCCTCTTTGTTGCTGGCCCTGTTGCTTACTGGCGCAAATGTTTCGTCTCTTTGTTGCTGGCCGTCTTGCCTACTTGCACGAATGTTTCGCCTGTGTTGCTGGCCCCGTCGCCTAGTTGCGCGAAGGTGTCGCCTGTTGTTGGCCCTGTGGCCTACTTGCGCGAACGTTTCGCCTTTTTTGCTGGCCCTTGCAATTGGCTGCTTGCGCGCATGTTTCGCCTCTTTGTTGCTGGCCCTGTCCCCGAGCTGCACGAATGTTTCGCCTCTTTGTTGCTGGCCCTGTCGCCTAGTTGCACGATCGTTTTGCCTCTTTGTGGTTGGCCCTGTCGCCTACTTGCGTGGACGTTGCGCTTGTTTTCCGGTGGCCTACTTGCGCGAACGTTTCACCTGTTTGTTGCTGGCCCTGCATGTGGCCGTGCACGAACGTGTCGCCTCTTTGTTGGTGGCCCTGTCGCTTACTTGCACGAATGTTTCGCCTGTCTGGCCCTGTGTCCTACTTGCGCAAACATTTGGACTGTTTTTTTGCTAGGCCTCTTGCCTATTTGCACGAAAGTTTCGCCTCTTTATTGCTGGCCCCGTCGCCTACTTGCATGCATGTTTCGCCTCTTTCTTGCTGGCCCTGTCGCTTACTTGCACGAATGTTTCGCCTCTCTGGCCCTGTGGTCTACGTGCGCGAACGTTTCGCCTGTTGTTTTGCTGGCCCTGTTTGCTACTTGCACGAACGATCCGCCTCTTGTTGCTGGCCCTGTCGCCTACTTGCACGAACATTTCGCCTCTTTGTTGCTGGCCGTCTTGCCTACTTGCACGAATGTTTGGCTTCTTGGCTCTGTCGCCTAGTTGCGCGAATATCTTGCTTGTGTGTTAATGGACCTGTGGCCCTACTTGCACTAACGTTTCCCCTCTTTGTCGTTGCTGGCCCCACCGCCTACTTGCATGAACTTTGAAGCATAACGAGCATAGACCGATTCACTTAATCGAAATTGAAAATTGAAAGGCACGCACTTGCTGGCCACGTGTGTGCATCCAAGGAGACATCTTTCGAGGCGCGGTTCCACAGGTCGACGATTATGTACGCGTTTGGCGCTGCCTGGTAAATGGTTCGTCGCTGCGGTCGACAGAGCAGCTGACGTTCACGGAGTCGTTTCTAAACTGCTCACGGTCGGAAGTTGAGTCCGTGAAAAGGCGAGCAGCTTCTCAAATCCTCCAGGTAATGCAAGAGAACGTGCGGCGTCGCAAGCTCGACTGCCTCCTGAGATCCTCAAGTGCCACGTTGCTTTTCGACGACAAAGGAGAGCACAGTTTCCTGTCTGTATCTCGAAGCAGTTTTACGGTGTATGTAATGAGGAATAAATGTAGCTGGACATACCTCAATAAGTCTCACAGCTAAAACATTCTGTTGTGTAAATGCTAAATACTCAGGAGTGATCCGGTATTTCACCAATCTTGGGGGACAGGAACGGTACGGCAGTGGTGTCATTGCTGTGCTCCGCCACGGTGGTCGAGCAACTTCGGCGTCGATCACCGAGTTTGAGGAGGATTACTCCCAGCGAGTAGCAGACTCGGTGGTCGAGGCCTTGCAGACCTTCTGCAAAGGTAACCCCGAGGTCTGGGACCACATGCAAGAAATCACGCGCTGTTTCACCTCCGACGCGTGTCCCGCTGCATTGAAGGCTGGTCGGTGTTTGTCGCAGCACTTTCGCAACCTGACCGTGATCCATCGAGACCTGAGCCACGCAATCAGGCCACTGGTTGCAAAGAGGTCAAGTAGTCTTTGTCAATTGTGGAAAGGAAAGAGTTAAAGAGTACTGTGGTAGTAGTAAGAGAATGTACTCAGCGGGGAATGTTGTTTTCGTGGGCTTTTGGCGTGGCTGCAGCTGCGATGGCTACATTATCTTTTCGATGCCACACTATGTATAGCTATATATATATATATATGTATGTATATGTATCTCTCTACCTATTCACATATATGTATATACATATACAGATGATGTAAATGACAGATATATATATATGTACCTATATATATATGTTTGTATGTCTCTATCTATCTACATGAAAAAAAGACATATATGTATATCTATATATATAGATGTGTGTGTCTATTCTCATCTATTTTTCCTAACAACTTCTGGACCTCACATGAAGTCTCAGGATTTTTCATCAATGCAGTCTAGCAACGGTTCCGGATCTTTCAACGTCATGTCTGATGTGTCCTTGTCATTGTCGAGCTTTGGGGTTGGGAAACCCTTAGGGTTTGGGGCAATTTCCAATGAGATCTTTGGGAATAGGTCTTGGCCTACGTTTTGACAATCCAGTTTATAACAGGCAAAAGCCCTGAGTATGCAGAGCCGCATGTTGAACTCAATCTTGGCCAAAGACTCTTGAAAACATAACATGGTGCGTACCCAGAGCTAGGAAGCAAAGGTGGTTTCAACTATACTGCAATTGCAATTTGTTCCCCATCCAAACAGCAGGGGAGCAGAATCAAGAGACTAACCGGTGAACCAAAACTATTGTTAGAACCGAAAGCTGCGGACACGTGCTGCGGTGCCAATGAGTGAAGATGAACATGAGAAATGTAGAGCCCGGACTTCTATAAACCACAATGAAGCAATTACGCAAGACAAGCATGCATTTTGCAAAACCTAAGTGGTTAGCCTGAGGCTCGCTGGGCAGAAGCCATTGCTCGCCGAGGACGATTGGGCCTTCGTCCAGGAGAGCCTCTTCGGCAAGAAGGGTGTCGTACCTAACCTGCAACACAGCGCAGAATGGCAAGCACGTTTCCTGGCACTGCAAAAGGACCTTGCGGGGTCGAGGTGGGACGGGCCTGTCGAGAAGGCTGTGAAGCACATGTCCTTTGCCAAACAGAGATGGAACAGCGAAGACGAGCCACGGCGTCGGTTCGCAGCCATGATTGTCCCAATAGCACTCTTGCTTGCGATCCAGTCCGAAGACACTCGGCAGTCTCTCCTGTTCCGTGAGCGGTGTCGAGAAACTCTGCAGAGACTGGTGCCGAAGTTCTTAATCGACCTTGGCCTCAGCTCTGACTACTCGAACGAATTGCTGGGTTTTCTGCGAATTTACGATGTCGACATTCATGATGCAGCTGTGACTTTGCGAGAGAAGTCGGAGTTCGAAAGCAGGAGCCCCCATCAGAGCGTGAATCAGAATCAGTAGCATAATGTGTTGGAGCATGATGATGAATATTCATCGTTAGTGATTAATTACTCGGGGCTTCGGTTCTTGAAATCCTTGCCTTTGCCATCCCTGCATGTGTCTTCACAGGATGAAATCTCTTTTTCTGCAGCTCCATATTCTCGATGAGAATGCTGTTGACACTGGCAAGACGGTTACACAACTCATTCTTGAACAAAGCATGGCATGTGGCCCGATTCGGTACGGAAGCAACGTCCATTATTTGTGGACGTCGGTGTCGAAGAGCGAGATGAAAGAAAGCTGCCTCAGCCTGTTTGCAGTTGTGCAGACGTCTTTATCCCGCTTGAACTCGGAGTTTAAGGGCCTGCAGTTTGATATGGCGGCGTTTGACCTCTACGCCATGAACCAGCACCTCCTGGAGGGGGACATGCAGACGTATGAAATCCTCACAAACACTCGAGTCCGACGTCTGCTAAAGCAGGGCGTGCGCTGCGGCGACCCTGATGCAGTGCTCCGGGCCTTTTGGGCTGCAGCTTATGAATTGCTGGAGGTGCATGCGCCTGAGCTGGGGGCCAACCCCAAGTTTGACAACCGGGCAGCGTGGCGCAGTATCCTGAAGTCGCCGTCGGAGTTGACAAGCCTCGTCAATTTTTACTTGGGCTTTTTGGATGGTTCCAACGTTTGCGAGCGGAGTTTGGGTCGGATGTCGAGGCAAAGGCTGCAACACCTCGGCCCATTGGAGGAAAATGGCATGTCCTTGACAATGTTTCTCGAGTTGAAGGAGGATGGCCCACAAGCTGAAACAGATCTCATTTGTCGGAGTCTGGTTCCAGACCCCTTCGGTCGCAGTGATGTTGTCGATCTCGAGGCAACAGAGTTCTTGCTCGGTTGTGGCAAAATCTGGAAGACAAGCCACGGAAGCCGGTTCCGATTATACAAACGTCGATGTGACGTCGGTGTTGAGAAGACGAAGAAGCCGAAAACTTTGGCATCTTTGCGACGGGACCAGACAGCTGCCGCTAACAGTTTGCTTCAGCGAGCTGAGCAGCGGAGTGGTGAGAGTGATACGATCTTCAGAGGCCTGAAGAGGAAACATCTTCCAAGCGTGGTCCCTCTCGAGCAGAACCCAAAGTTCAACAAAAAACTTGCTGAGCTTCGGGACCAGGACGCACAACGCAATGAGCACCATCGTGCTTTGGCGCAGGCCCGCAAGCAGCGTCCGCGTGGGAGCCCTTTCACGGTCGGCCAGGTTCGCAAGGCATGTCTCCTGACCAAGCCTGGCGGAGTCGGAATCAACTTAGACGGCCGCGCAAAGGCATACCTGGAAAGGTCAGTGTTGAACATCGTCGACATCAGGCCACAGGGAGGGCGTTTGATACAGAAAAACTCCCGGCAGTCGTTGAAGGTCTGGCGACCGACAGCCGATTCTTCACCGCAAGAACTGCTCGCAAAGGTGCAAAACTGTCATCTGGTTCTCGTGGAGAAAGACACGCATTTCCAAACATTACCTCATCAAGCCATGTTGCTACGCTTCATTCAGTCGGAGTTGTTTTGACCCCTCATTCGTCTGTCTATCCATTATAATTAAGGTGCTGTCAAGCAAGTTTTGGGAAACAATACTGACAAAATTTTGGTCCTGCTTCTGGCGGCTGCTGAGGCCTGGATCTGAGCAGATCATGTTTGCATGCGTGGCACTCGGAAAGTCGGCTGTCGACACAAAGACTTGGGACAGGAATGGGCCTGCGGTGTTGCACCGTGCATCCCACTTAGTGGCCGCCTGTCGCATTTGCGTTTCCGACGACTTCAGAAGAAAGCACAAGGCTATGGCAAAATTTATCGACGACCTCAGCTCCAAGTTGCTTGAGCCATGTTGTCAAGTTTTTTTGCTTTAGTCTCGAGCTGTGGTTATATGACCGTTGTCCGCCCGGATTTCCAGGCGAGATTCAAGAGCGAGTTAGAGTTTCTGATTGTCATTGTCCTGCAGCTGAGGGAAGGGAGCAAGTGGTACACCTCTGAGCAGAAGAAGAAGAAAACCGCGGAGGTGCACATTCAGACCAGGGCGGATTTGCATAAGGCCGCACGACAGTTGCGCCGGTTGGAGCGGGGAGCAGGCGTGGAAAATCCATGCTTGCGGGCGAGACGGGCATGAGTCGGAGTCGACGACAATTAGAAATTAAGTGTTCAATTTTGGGTTACTACAACAACAGAGTCGACATGACAATGCCGTTGCGCATATGGGGACTGGGGAGATGGGGCAGCAACAGCATGTTGCAAAGCCAACGGCGAGTTGGCAGAGAGCTTGTGGCAACGACATCATGGCGCCAAAAAGCTCTTGGTACTGTAGGCTGTTTCTGCTGCTCACCTTGCCGAAACCTGTGAGGCCATTCAGCTTTTAATTCATGTCGAGGTCGGTGTCGGCAGTATTTGACAACAGTGTCTAGGATTTAGTAGACGTCCAAGTCACTGTTTAACTCAGTCTTACCATGCTGGTTCTCAAGGAAATAATTTTGACCATGGGTTCTTAAGACAAGGAAATTCAGTCTAAAACAGTTTCCAATCAACTCCGCAGTTCCATCTTTGCTATTCGTCCTGTCCTACATCCGGAGGATTGATGTGGCGGCCTGTCCTACATCCGGAGCATTGATGTGGCGGCCGGCCAGCAGGCGAGCAGCCGCAGGGGTTTGCATTTGTTCTTCTACATTGCTTGATATGCATGTGCACAGGCCGGACGGAGTCGAGCCGGCACTGCGCTGGATCTGAGTGGCCTCTCTGTCGAGCGGCCAAAGTGAAGACAAAAAGACCTGTCCCACTAAGTTTTTTCGCAGCGCGCCAAAAGCCCAGCTAGTAGTAGTAGCAGTAGTAGTAGTAGTAGCAGTAGTAGTAGTAGTGGTAGTGGTAGTGGTAGTGGTAGCGGTAGCGGTAGCGGTAGTAGTAGTAGTAGTAGTAGTAGTAGTAGTAGTAGTAGTAGTAGTAGTAGTAGTTGTTGTCGTAGTAGTTGTTGTTGTCGTAGTAGTAGTAGTAGTAGTGGTAGTGGTAGTAGCAGTAGTAGTCGTAGTTGTAGTTGTAGCAGTAGCAGTAGCAGTAATAGCAGTCGTCCTCGTATCGTAGTAGCAGCAGCAGTAGTAGTCGCAGTATCAGTCGAAGTAGCAGTAGCAGTTGCAATAGTGGCAGTAGTAGTAGTCGTCGTCGTCGTCGTCGTGATTGTCCTAGTCCAGTCGTAGTCGTAGTCGTCGTGGTCGTAGTCGTTTTGGTCGTCGTCGTCATGGTCGTCGCGGTGGTCATGGTCGTTTTTTCTTTTTCTTTTGATTTTTGTTGTTCTTGTTGATGTTTGGGATGATGTGCTGATGCTGCTGCTGCTTCTGCTGCTGTTGTTGTTGTCGTTGTTGTTGTTCTTGTTCTTGTTCTGTACTACTAGTAGTAGTAGTAGTAGTAGTAGTAGTAGTAGTAGTAGTAGTAGTAGTAGTAGCAGTAGTAGTAATCGTAGTAGCAGTAGCAGTAGCAGTAGCAGTAGCAGTAGCAGTAGCAGTAGCAGTAGCAGTAGCAGTAGCAGTAGCAGTAGCAGTAGTAGTAGTAGTAGTAGTAGTAGTAGTAGTAGTAGTAGTAGTAGTAGTAGTAGTAGTAGTAGTAGTAGTAGTATGGCTACGGTTGGCTCAGACAGGCGCCTCGTGAAGTGCCAGGCAAGTTCCCTCCAGCATTTTGCGTCTTCCTTGCCGTCTTCCGCTGCAAGATGGCGCAATCTTCTTCCAGGGAGGACGACCTTCTCCTCGACCAAGCGGACCAGTGGGAAACCAAGCAGAACCAGAAATGGATGAAGACTTCCCGGAGCACACCACGTACGGACGTGGGGCGTGTGCGTGAGGTGGAAAACCAAGCAGAACCGGAAATTGAAGACATCTCGGAGTACATCCAGGAAAGCTTGAGCTTGGCAAAGCTTGACGACAAGCAGGAAAGTGACGATGATCTCTGTGAACGCCAAGAGTCAGCGGTCGGCCGGCTTAACGCGAAGCAAGAAGAGCGCCTGTTCACGGACAAAGTCAAGGAGGAACATCCACGCGTCAATGCAAAGGACAAAAGATCCATGCTGCGTCAGAAGTACTTTGCCAACAGTGATTTCTGAGCCGCTGCTGCCGGAACGTTTGTGTTTAGATTTTTTTTGTTTGCTAGGGCGCGCCCTGTCCAATCACTCTCTGCCTGCTGCCCCCCCCTAAGCCAAACCCGTAAACCTTGAGCACCAGTTGATCCCACCATGACATCAAGAAACCTTTTTTTTCTAAGCTCTGCATGCGCCCGGCACCCGAGTAGTGGGGGTGTGTTTCGTGATCCGCACAGGCATGTTTTGGGCAGCCCACCCTTTAAACCTACAGGCATCCTGCTGTCATATCGGACATCATCGTAAAGCATAAGGAAGATGTCCATGTCATGCTACTGTTTAGGCATTAATCTCATTAGACGTGAATGTCTGTGACAGGCTGCCCTTGCTCAGAAGTCTCTTCCACTTCCGAGTCTTCAGGGCAGACCTTCTACTTGTAAGACTAGAGTGTGCAGCGGGGCGGAGCACGAAACCATCCCAACTGCTGGCAGTTTCTCACATGTCCGGTATTTCCGCATGACACTTCTTGATTTCCTGCGCAGTGCCTGCTGGGGGCTCAGGCTTTGGAATTCTTGAGCATCATGTTTCAGGTGCTCTACCTAAATCTACAACCAAATCCACTTTAAAAGGCAACAGTTGGGCTGAGGCGCTGGGTGGAAGAATGGCCAGGGTGCACCAGGACGGCAAATTCCTAACTGGACGAAGGCAAAACTCCAAGCATCATGCCATGCAAACGCCACCACACTGCAGTTACAGGCCAGCGTTACGGTGGAAACGATGCCATCCCACAGCTAGGACTTTCCCTCACGGTGTATTGTTACAGGATGGCTTGGCCAGGCTTCCGGACTTTCAGCCGTTGTGTCGGGGCGGTCAGGGGGTGAGATCGTCTTTGGGACTTGTCACAGAAAAAATGGCCCGGAAACATGGCATAGTTGCGCTATGACGTAAGGCCTTCCCGAATTCTTCATGACAGTGGGTAGCAGTATACCAGCGTTGCTTTACAATGGGCAGCAGTGCAACTATGCCATGTTGCCCATGTTCCCGGGCCATTTTGTTATTTGACGGGTCCCATGGTTATCCAAGTACAACACCGATGATGACTACAGCCCGGCCTGAGAGTCAGAGGAGTCAGAGAATGAGAAGTCTACGGCAACGTATTCGAAGCAACGCCATACAACACCGGCACCGTCAGGGAACAAGCAATACAGACATAGTAGTAGTTACTCGTCGTAGTCGTCCAATCCCGAGAAAGTGCGAAGTTTCCGAGTAGTCCCTGATCGCCCATCCTCACGGACAAGCCGTACAGCTCCTACTGCAAGCTGCCGCATTGCATACTCTGTACGATCTCGCTTAGCGGCACATATGCACATTTATGAGACTGTTGCGCTTTACGCAGTTTGGCAGTGGAGCCAAAGGTCTTTTGATTTTGCCGGCCGCGGGTGAAGCCCAAATCTCGGCATTAAGGTGTTATCGGCGAACGCCTCCGAATGCTTCGTGCTTCGTGAAGACGTGTGCAGTAATTTTGGTTTCTTGATTTCTTAATGGATCCCAACACTTAAAGCTGGAGCCCTTCTGCGAAACATTCAGGAAAACAAGAGGGCTGAAGGTTCAGATGCTACACTTAATGCCGAGAAAGCAGGGAGCCCACATGCGAGGCGTGATAGCAGGGGGCGTCCCCCGTCGGGTACCGAATCAGAGTTCGTCCGAAACCAAGCTAGCGAATCTGATCGGTCCCTGACGGCGGGCGCGGCCCCGACCCGTCGGGCTCGGCACGCGGCTCCCCCCGGAGCGCGTGCGGTTTGCACAGTGTCCACCCGGACGTGAGCAACTGTCAAAATTCCAGCAGCTCGGATAGCATTTGTCAGGCATTTTGATCTACATGGGACGTGCTTAAATACTGACAGTTGCTCATGTGGACTTGCCGGACTACCGTTCTCAAGTCTGGCAAAAGTCGGAGAGTCTGTACCGGAAAGCACACCCAGGGAGTAGATGATGATGATGGTCCGATGATGGTCCGTTACTGGATGATGGGTTCATTATGATGGGGTTTTTGCTGTTGCCCTTCCTGGTGATGCTGTGTTTTCTGCTTTGGCCTGTATGATGTGCTCTGTATGGATGGATGCTTCTGCAACCCGGGTGGTGGTGCATGGGTGGTGCAGCCTCGTCCCACCCCCACCCCCCCCCAAATCCTCCGCGAGAGGCCAGCAGCAAGGTTTATCCCTTGCATTAAAGAGTCGCGCGCGCATGGGGTATATCCCCCAGTCCTTGGACAGGCTACGTTGGGGCCTGAGTGAAGGCCGGCCTGAGACTGTCTTGGAGCCCCGCAGGTTAACGTAGAGAGCCATGGCAATCCCTCCTTGTGCGCGGATAGAGCTGCTCTACCTTGACGGCCATTACCGAGGTCGCGTGTCCAGGCCTTTGCTGCCTTTCTTTTTGCTGGGGAATGCATCGACTCCTATCTGGTATTCTCGAAGAATTTCCGAAGTTCTGGTGCATGGGATTGGGCATTCCCGTTGCCGGCTCTCGCCGCACTGTAACCCTGGGGGGCATGCTGGAGGAGTTTTGCTCTGTTTGAGACGACGCTTAAGAGAGGGACATCTCCGCCAGGATGCAGTAACCTGCTTGCCCCGACTCTGGGACTTGAGAACCCTGTGTCGCTGGATTAGTCTTGATATGGGCGCGATTTGCCTGAGAGGGTCGAGGCTGGATGAACGGCTATGCATGACATTGCCTGTTCTGTAGGCTTGAATCTCCTGTTAGTGGACTTCGCGCTGCAAAGAGATGGCTGCTCCCATTCAGTGGTTTATGTGCACGCTGGGAAAACGGCTGCTCATTTAGTGGCCTACGTACCTACTGTATATGCTGGTGAGGAATGCTGCATCTGGCTTTGCAGGAGGCTTGCTCTGATGACGGACTTGATGGCCCGCTTTATTTTTTGGGGCAGTGGGTGTGAACTGTTGTGCGATGACCGAGATGGTCGCGACCGAGATGGTCACTGCCTGGCTTTGGTGACGTGCTGTGCAGTACTCATGAGAGTGGATGTGAGGTATTGAGTCACGCTGACATATGAAAGCATCGCTGTGAGTTAATGTCGTGAGTCGTGCCAATGTGCATGGGTCAGTTGCTTGAGTAGCTGTGAGTCCAGTCAAACCCTCGTCTGACTTGTCGAGCACGAGTGACAAAAAGTAGTAGTAGTAGTAGCAGTAGCAGTAGCAGTAGCAGTAGCAGTAGCAGTAGCAGTAGCAGTAGCAGCAGCAGCAGTAGCAGCAGCAGCAGTAGTAGTAGTAGTAGTAGTAGTAGTAGTAGTAGTAGTAGTAGTAGTAGCAGTAGCAGTAGCAGTAGCAGTAGCAGTAGCAGTAGCAGTAGCAGTAGCAGTAGCAGTAGCAGTAGCAGTAGCAGTAGCAGTAGTGGTGCTGGTAGAATAGGTGGTGGTGGCAGTTAGGTCAGCAAGCAAGCAAGGAAGGAAACTGACCAGTGCTGGTAGTCGTCGTCGCCCTCGTAGTTTAGTTGTAGTTGGTCGTAGTTGGTAGTGTAGTCTCGCTGCGACGCCGACTACTGCTGTCACTGCCATCGCACCTGTAACAGTGATTGCAAAGACGACTGCGGCGGTGGCGACGGCGACGAACACCATTACCTCCAGCACCCACCATGCCTCCGTACGCGTGAACCCACAGTCTCAGCCTGGCGGTGTACAGTTCCGGATTTCTGCACGCGGATAATGATGATGCCGATGACGATGACGATCACGATGGTGATGATGATGATGGTTTCAGTGAAATTTTTCGAGCAATGACCAATGATATCCAATGATGTTTCCATGCCTCTGTTGCCGCAAAACGCATCCCACAAGGTTTCGCAACACGCACCACCCCTTTTTGGGCACCAGCAATTCCAGCGAGGAGAATCCGTCATGAGAAGATGCTATTCCCAAGAGTGCGTGTTTGGGTTTGCAATGCGAGACTGTATGCCCAACAGTGGACTTGGTTTGTTCCTGGCAGAACCCAGTCTCGGTCGTAGCCTCGTGGAATGCTTGCAGATGACAGCTCTGGATTTCTTCAGGGTAGATTTGAGGGGACAAGATGGTTCAGGTTCCCAATCCTAAAACTCCTGGATTGTCCGAGTGAGCGCCGGAAACTCCTGAAAACCTGAAGCAAGTTGGACATGATGGACACTCCGATCGGCCCGTGGAGAGCCTCTGCGTTTTGGGTTTAGGGATCTGAAACGCTCCCTGAAGCCCGAAGCTTGTCCACAGCGAACACGTGGCCTTTAGCCCACATGCGAGACTCTTCGTAGTAGGATCTGTGTTCCAGGCGTTCAGTTGTTGTGCTGAGTGTGGGTGAAAGGCCCGGGATTTCCGGACCAGAGCGGGGCAGCCCAAAAGCTAACGCTTGGCTCAGGGTTTTAGGGACTGCCAAAGAAGGAGTGCTGGTCCATGAACTCGGCCGCTGCCCTGGCGGCGCAGCTGGCACAGAACTTGGTCGAGAAGGCGCGAGGAAGGGAAAGAAAGGGCGAATCAGTCAAGCACAGCCGCACACCGCGAGCCAAGCCCTACAGACCCAAAACCCGTCAAAGCACCATTCAAGATTCGTGCCTGCCGATCGAACATGTCACAGCATAGGTTGTCGTGGGACTTACTGATCCTTCGGCGTGCTGCATGTATATACACATTTGCATGAAATACGTGATTCCTCTCTTGGGTCCAGATGTCCTCGCAGTTCAATCAGTAGTTCCATTGACTGTGGCAGAGAGGGGGACCTGAGAGAGCGCGAGAGAGAAAGAGAGAACAGAGCGAAAGGAACAGAGGCGGATAAAGCACGTCTATACGGCGATACATGGGTTGCAATCAATCAATATATATATATATATATCTATCTGTCATGGCTTGTGTTGAGCCAGACGCCATAAATGTCAAAGCCCCTCGAACGGCAAAGCAACACCCTGCCTGGAACCCCTAGTGCGGCCTCACCTGCAGCCGCAAGCAGTCGTCATGTCGCTTTTCGGTGCATTCATACCTTCCGGACCCTTAGTCTCCAGCTCCGAATTGAGCGATATGTGCGATGCCCTGCGAAGGTTGTATCTCCTTTTCATGCCCACGATGCCTCTCGCCATGCATTGCTGGTGCACAAGGGTAACACGAGCGGGTCTGGATACGGCAGTGCTTTGTCGCCACATTGAAACTGTTGGGTTCAGCTCGCGTGCAATGCGGCATTCGAGCCTAGCGTTTTCATCGTCTGGGTTTGCGTTTACAGGCTTCTGATTGGGGACTCCATAAGGACTGCATGAGGATGGAAACTGCCTTGCGGAAACCCCAATGGTGATGATTTTCGCAGCCCTAGGTTGAGTGTTAAGTGACACCTTCTCAGATGCAGTGATCACATTCTGTGAGAGCGTGGTGAGTGGATCGAGCCTGCCGCAAGTATTGCTTCCAGCTCATTTTCGGACCTTCGGTGCTTGCCCTGGGCTCTATATCTCTCTCTCTCTCTCTCTCTCTCTCTCTCTCTCTCTCTCTCTCTGAAATCACATATACATGTACAAACTCGCACACATACACATGTGTAGCCACGCATGCACACCTAGTAACATGTACCTAGACTTTAGAGTGAAGCACTACGAGGCGAAAGCGTGCAGAGAGACAGACCCATTTGAAGCAAGACTTCTGAGGATTTGAAGCACTTAACACTGGAGTGGCCCCGGCCCTCAGTGGCTAAGTAAATTGAGTGAAGGTATTCCTTATATAAGTCCAGTATAGTCCAGTACAAACTACCCCCATACCCACAACCCTACTCTAATGCTCGCCGCAGCCTGGCCGAAGCCATACATCATACATCTGCAGGCTGCAGCGGCAAAGAATATGGTCCAGCCGCTGACAAATCGACATCTGCTGCTTGACCATGCCGCCATTTGTTGCATAGCAGATGCCGCATGCGACTGGCAGTACACTAATACACTAGACTCCCACCAACCAGCTCTATACAAACATCTTGGATTAGTTAAGCAGGTAAGCGACAAGTAAAGAGCTGCACTTGGGTGGTTGTGAAAACTATGGTCCCTTTTAGGTCCCTATTAAAATACGGCACCTAGTATTTAGGGTACCCAAAAAGGGATCCTAATTTTGACAACTACCCACTTAAGGGTCAAAGTGTGCATACCCAGGGATTCCTCAAAAAGGGTTCCCATGGGTGGGGATCGGTCGCTGAACTGCACATCCACCGGGCTTCCGGTGCTTGGGAAAAGGAGGGACCCTTAATAAGGACCCCTAGGTATATACCCTTAATATAGCTATTATGCACCCATTAAATAGCCCTTCCGATTCTCCGAGCCATTTGTGGCATCCCTGCGGCCCTAAATCCCGCCCAGTGTTGCTTCAGGTTGCAGCTCATGTTTGCTTGGATACAATCCCTACGGAAGTTGAGAAATCCATAGTGCTACCATCCCTGAACCTGCGGAAAGAAACCCTAAACCCCGAAGAAAACGCCCCTATGTGTCATTATCAAAGCCAAAAAAGCCTTCCTTGGAGCCAGAGTTGAGGCTGCTCCTCACCGCAAAGGGAGTTCCAGAGGAGCCGGTTGCTGCGACGTGCAAGTCCCTTTAAGACCACACTGTTCGACAGCTTCACACCGAGAACTATACACGAGGAGAAGTTGCCTGAGGGTTTATGCAAATCGGTCCGTAGAAAGGTCGGCTATTACGGATACCCTAAACCCTAAATCCTGAAGAAGCCCAGAAGGATCACTCGGGGGGTGCGTACAGTCTGGGTTTGTTCGGTCTTCCCTGCATGGAGCGTCGAGGGTTCCGGTTTCAGGCTTCCGTCTTGGGCCTCGTGCCTTTAGCCCGATCGTTGGTTTTGGCACAGGGACCCTTAATGGGGTAGGGGGGAGGGGGGTAGGGGACTATACCTCCTTAAATAGGCCTGATGAAGTCCCTATTATACGTCGGAGCCTAATTAAGACTTTTTGGGTGACTGGGGAGTGTCAAAACTTCCGAGAGCTTCTTGAAGTCATCGTTGGACTCCTTGGTGCGGGATCTGCTGGCAGGAGCGGGTCATCGAGACTTCACGTGGCAGTTTGAGCCTCTCTGGCCCGAGTTTCAGAACATAAGGTCCCTGTGGGGGCTCTGGGTTTGAGGGGCTTCACAAGAGAGCGGTCTGTCCGAGTCGGGCGGCGGGGGGGGGTTCCGATTGCAGTCCTTCTCCATTCAAGTTGAGGGCCAAACCGATCGTTAGACGCCCAGACCCTGATCTTGGAATATGGTCTAGCCGACCCAGTGAAGTTCATAGAAGGTGAGGGTTTATGCAGGTTGCTGATCGTCGACAGCTGGGGCAGACTTTGCACAGGGATGCTAGCGAGCAGGGCGATGTGCAGAGATGGCAGTCTTGCTCGGCCACAGAAGTACCAACGGTGACCCATCGAAAATGAGGGACCCCTAATAAGGACCCCTAGGTATATAGCCATTATATACCCATTATATTGCCCATCATAGGGTAGGGGTCCCCACTAAGGGTCCCTCCTTTTCCCCTTTGAAGATCATCTCAGCAGCGGGCTGTGGATGAGTGTTTTGGAGTCCGAGCCCGGCTCCGCAAGGCAACGCAGCAAGGCCGACGACCCCAGCCCCTCCTGGCCTCCGCAGCGTAGGCCCATAAGGATTTTAGACTATTGTAGGGGTATTTTTTTGAAAACATCGCGCAAGGACTTGGGGTCATTCCTCAATACATATGTGTTTTCAACAGGCTCCTGGGATGTTGGTACTGCTGAGATACTACTGTGCATGTCCAGCGCCGGTCTTGGCCCGAGCCGCCAAAGCAGAAACGGAGAGAGAGCGAGAGCGAGGGGGAGAGGGAGGAGGGAAATAGGGTTTCGGTGTATATCATACCAGAATTATTTGGAAGAGGCTTTTGGGGTATATGGAGGCTTTTGGGGTATATAGGTATACCAAAAATATTCGGAAGAGGCTTTTGGGGTATATGGGTAAATTGGTACACCAGAAGTATTTGGAAGAGGCTTTGGGGGTATATGGGTATACCAATAATTATACACGAAATGTTTGGAAGAGGCTTTTGGGGTATATGGGTATACCAATTATACCAGAAATATGTGGAAGAGGCTTTTGGGGTATATGGGTAAATTGGTACCAGCATTCGATTAGGACACCAAAGCCCAGGTGTTCCATTTCCGGTGACCCTGATCCGTGTGGCTCCTCTCCGTGTGCCGCTACTGGGGTTCCTTTGTCACAAGAAGGCAGTCTTTGCCTTTGACTGACGGACCAAAAGTTTCGCTAAACTCGTCATTTGATATAATACAGGATTTTGCCCATCAGCTTTGCGCTGAGGAAGCCTGAAACCCCAAAGCTGTTCTGCGGGTTAAACTGTATGTGTCTTTATGCTACGAAGTTGGGGTCATGAAGGAGTCGTCACCTGGACTTGGTGCTGTGTGAGTTCTCTCTTTCTCTGTCGTGGTAAGTTGGTTCGCTGATATGGGGCGTAGTGACGTTTTTTTGCTGCTGCCTGCTTTAGGAGACCTAAGTTAGTTTGAAGTAGATGACTTCCAGTCAGTTGCGTGCTTCTTGTCATCGCGCTGCTGCGTGCGAGAGGAGAAACACAACTCGTGGCCCACAGGGCCAGTTATGGCCATGTATTGGTCATACTTGGTCATGCACGTTTTAGGCAAGTAGGCGGCATTAACCCTTGTACCGAACAGAATGCCCTCTGTACATCGAGATTGAAGGAAAGGTGGTTCCATCACGAGCCAATGCAAGGTATTTCCGAAACACCCCAACAGGATCCCAAAGGGCCTTCATTTGCCTTGATAAGTGATAATGTGTTTGTTGGAGCGGACGTGTCCCGAAGAATTGAGGTGGCTGGTGCTTGACTTGGCGATCTTCGCCGTGCCTCGTCTTGCAGACACCTTCGGTTGGTGAGGAGAGGTGTTACACGACAGCTTGCGCGAGGTCGACAAGTATTTCGCCCATGGTACTCAATGTTCTTTCTGCACCACCAATCATAACCGCCACACGATAGGCGCAACCGACTCGGAATCAGGATCGTGCCCGGGACCTCATTTGTTGATAAACTCCCAGTTCGTGCCAGAACGTACCCGGAGGTTGTACCCCCCTTTTCCAATCGCCTCGATCCCTTATGGCTGCTGTGTCGTCGTGTTCCTCATATGGAGACTCCAGTGGCGCCGTGGAACACTAGTTTGCCAGTTGCATTGCAATGTCGCACCTGCAAGAATGCTTAGAGGCAATCCTACGATTGACTACTGCAGTGGGAGTGTCAGAAATGCGGGCCCACTCTATAGACCCCAAAACAACCATCCAGTCGGATCCGTAGGAAAAGAAGCACCAAGAAACCCCTCGTGAGATTAACCGAGTGTGTCTTTAATTTCAACACATTTTTAGTAGTGGTAGTATGAGCGCTGCTTGTAAAAGGTCCTTCGTAAGGCTCCTCTATACAGAGCCCGTAAACGGAACTTGTACCGGACCCCGCGTGCTTTTTGTTGCACCCCTCAGCCTTGCCCGAGTCGGCGGGTTCCCTGCTGGAAGCACGATTTGTGGTGGGCTGCGCTTGTGCTAGCCGCCCGGCCGAAGCAACATGCTGTCTGCAACTCCTGCAAGCAGGGCTTGCAGAGCATATGCATAAGTTGGGTTAGACATGTTAGGCCTCAGCCTTAGACCCTGCACTTGCGCCTGTAAAGTCGGAATATAGAGGGATCGTAGTACGGTCACCAAAATCTCTCGTGGTCACCATGACTTTCGTAGTGGGGGCCTCGTTTGAGGCATGAGTTTTGGGGCTCGGGGTGGAGTGGGCTGCTGGACAACGAGGCCTGTTGCAACAAGAATGTTGCTTTTCAGGGAGACGAGACTCTATCAGCGCTCACAGCGGCGATGATGACCATGCTGACAACCGCAGCATAAAGGCAAGAGTAGCTGCAGTGAAGAGGAATCACAGTGAATATAGCAAGATTGGGTAATAACGTATATGTTCACCGCACACACGCACATGTGTGTGTTTACATATATGTGTACACATGTGTAATTAACATATCTGTATGTCTATATACATATATCTGTATGTCCGTCAATCTGTCCATCGACTTACCTATCTGCCTGTGCATATGTACACATACATAGATAGTAGGTAAACAACTAGATAGGTAGGGCAGACAGAGGCAGGTCCCAGAGCAGGATTCCAAGCCTCCAAGTTGCCTTGCCTGTGGAACAGTTAGCCTCTGGTTCTTGAGGTTAGAGCACAGTTCCCAACCCGGAAACCCCCAAACCCCGAAGCTTCAACCCGACCTTCCTTGATGTGTCTGACTGTAACCTGCTCCTGTTCTATGAATTCAGCAACGCGAGGCTCCTTGGACCAGGGAGTCCCTTAATTCTAGTTTCACGCCGACCCGCACTTATGGATCTTCGCCTGGCTTGTCCAAGTTGTGGGAGCGTAGACGCGAAATTCCCTGAAGCCTGAAGCCTTACTATGAAGGCCTCAATAATAGCTGCCTGCACTGTTTTTTTGCGGGTTCCTCATAGTGTAGCAAAATATACACCAAAAAACTATTCTAATTATTAAGGCCCCTACATCCCTAAATCCCTTGTAGTACCCTTATAGATGCCTGTTTAAGGAACCCTTAAAGGAACCCCATATTCTAAGTACCCAGGCCCCTGTTTTTATGTCCCTGGAGGCTTGGTTCTGGCCCTGATCCTCGCAGCAATCGCCTGGAACTTCACACCCCTGACGCTGCGGGAGTACAAGCTCAAGGACTTCCAGGGACTGTGGGCTATTACTACTACTACTACTACCACTACTACTACCACTACCACTACTAGAACTACTAGTACTACTACTACCACTACTACTACTACTACTACTACTACTACTACTACTACTACTACCACTACCACTACCACGACTACTACTACTACTACTACTACTACCACTACTACTTCTACTACTACTACTACTACTACTATTACTACTACTACTACTACTACTACTACTACTACTACTACTACTACTACTACTGCTACTACTACTGCTACTACTACTACTACTACCTACTACTACTACTACTACTACTACTACTACTACTACTACTACTACTACTACTACTACTACTACTACTACTACTACTACTACTACTACTACTACTACTACTACTACTACTACTACTACTACTACTACTACTACTACTACTACTACTACTACTACTACTACTGCTACTACTACTACTACTACTACTACTACTACTACTCTACTACTTCTATTACTTCTACTACTACTTCTACTACTCTACTTCTACTTCTACTTCTACTTCTACTTCTACTCTACTACTCTACTACTACTACTACTCTACTACTACTACTACTACTACTACTACTACTACTACTACTACTACTACTACTACTACTACTCTTGCTACTACTACTACTACTACTACTACTACTACTACTACTACTACTACTACTACTACTACTACTACTACTACTACTACTATGTTTAGGGTTCATAATTGAGGTTTTGGCTTACGGTTCAGAGGCTAGAGTAATTAGGGTTCAGATCTTACATGATTGAGGTTTGGGGGCTTAGTTGCCCAGACACCTCAATCATGGGGCCCCGGGGCTCATATAAGATAGTCTTATAATTCGAAAGTTTGAACCCTTTCCCTTATAGCTATTTGGGAGGTAGCAAAGTAGGGCCTCGATCTTCGCGGTGCAGGGGCTCTTGGGCCGCTCGGAATAAGTTGATCTCTACGTAGAACACGACAGTGCCTTAGATAGGGTTGTTAGGGTTTAGGATTTCGGGTTTATAATTGGGGTTTTAAGGTTTAGGGTTTCCTTAAAGGGCTCAGGGTTTAAATGGATGTGCGGTGCATGACTGTCGCAGTTCGTGGTGCACACCAGACATGCCCGGCCGGCACAGAGTCACAGAGGATGTTTTCAAGCAAAGCCGGACACGGTGAGAGCGTGCTTCCCTTTTCCAAAGAAAGCTTCAGTTTCATCCGGCCCAAATGCCACCTAGCAAGCCATGCTTGCATTTGGCCCATGAAAGCAGGCCCTGCGTCCGCGCACGCGCAGGCCAAACTATGCTATGTCACCACGATGAAGTCCAGGTCCGCATTACGAACCCGCACGTAGCCGAGATTAGGAGCGTGGACTCCATACAGATTGCGCGTTTCGAGGTTTATTGTAATTGGGGTGTTTAGGTTGTGGTTGAGGAGGAAGGGCCGCAAAACCTTTCAGCTCAACACGTCTTACAACAGTTTAGTTTGGATCCCGCAGGAGCACCAGCGAGAGCTGAAGAAAGCACCCTGCCGTCAGTTTGGTGGTCTTCGGCCAGGTTTCAGTTCAATCTCCATCTTTTCCTTGCTATACCACCTCCAATAGCCATGGTAGCTATGATTTCGCCACCTGTGCCTACCTCATGCTAGCTCTGTGGATGCAATCGGTCATAGTTGCGATTTATGTCCGCCTGGTTGTAGTTATGACTTATGTCTGTCTGGCTGGTCAGTGCCTTGGTTTGTCACCGTTGCCCTTTCATTACGCTGTCACTCCCGCCATGGTTTTGGGCATCGTCGTCGCGGTGTAATGCAACACCTAATTCATCATGGGCTGCCGACGCCTGCCCTTGCAGGGATTGAAGTTACCCTGCGGGCTCGTCCTTGCTAAGTAGGAGGGAAAAACCCGCGAGCCGAAACGCTAAACCCGAAGCAACGAATCCCGGAACCCCGAAGCCATCACCTCAAAACCGGATGGCCCAAACCCCGAAACCTTGAGCCCGAAGCCCTAAACCGAAACCCGATGCCATGGCTCCGCAAATCCGAGGTGAATCCTGATCCAAAGCCCTGCCCTCGCGGACCCGGCCGGGCCATTCGAGCCGGTCAACTGCCTCCTGGCCGTCAGAGTCAGAACAGGGTTCCGAGTTTAGGGCTGAGAGTATTGCTTCGGATGTTTACGGGATAGGGCCCCGAGGTTGCGGTTCAGGCTCTCGAACAGCAGCGACGAGCCAGCCGAGGCTCGCAGCTTCAACCTCAACCCTACAGTGAATCCGAAGAAGCCGGGAAACTGTGCAGATCGGGCGCGAAAGTGAGACGGTGAAAGAGTTGGAAGCACCCAACACCCTGAGTTCTCTCTTTCTGTGGGATGCCCTGTCGGCGAGCCTCAAGAAATGGCATGCTGCACATGAGAGTGTGAGCGCCGAAACCCTGAACCCGCTACAATATACAGCCTAATGTTGCGAGGCCCTGCCTGCCTTCGCGAGTTGCGAAAGTCGAGCCCCCCCCAAAACGCCATTGAGCTTTTGTAATCAAGGTGGAAGTTCTACTCCACTTTCGAGCCCTTGATCAGAGACTTGGCCAGCTTGGATTTCCCTAAAGGCAAAGTCTGGCCGGAACCTCCCAAAGTAGTGTATTTCACTTTCACCCAAATATCCATGGACCCTAACCCTAAGCCCTAAACTCCCTAAACCCCTGCTTCCTGTTCTCCACTTCTCCACAAGACATCTCCGAGCCTCTGATCCGAAACCCCCAAGCCCTAAAGCCTTGAACCCCTGAAACACACCATAAAAACAAAAAAAAAACAGCAAAACAACATAATCCCTGATCCAAAACCCCTGCCTACACCTTGAATTTGAACCCCTACATCAACAAAGTCCCTCGATCCAGGGCCTCTACTTTCAGCCGAGGGCAGCACCGCACGATGTACTACGTTGTCTCCAACCTGGTGATGCCTCTGACCCGGAGCCGACGTCTCTCCTACGCCGAGCTCGCAGGCATGTGGGAAAAAAATCACGGGCAGTTTTGGGTTGTGTTGGGCTGTAGGGCCACTTTTACGATTTATCCGGGGCTTCTAAGAGTAGGGAGAGCAAGGGTATTGAAGTTAATCCTCTTCAGTGAACTTGGAGGTTGTGCAAGCTTCTCATGCTCGAAGTGCGTGCCCCAAGGTCCGAACAAAGTCAATTGGTTCATTTCGCATTTTTGGGGCACTTCCTTCCGCCACTTCGTCTTCAGCATCCGGAAGCATGCGGAAAGCGTTGCTGTGGTGAACAACTACGTCACTCTGGCTGCAAGAGATTCCTAAGGTTCAGACCTAATATAGGGGCCTTAATAAGTACCTTCACTTTTTTGGTGGTTCCTGATGATAATTATACTATAGTGGGGCCAGATATTAATGCAACGAAGTTGTTGCAAGACCCCCCCCCGGGCCGGAGGCTGCAGAATGTGAGTCTCCGATCGCCATTCTTGCAACTCCAAAGCCCTGTGAACACCCTAAACCCTAAACCCGCCCAATCGAAGTACTACGCATCCGAGACCTCGTCTGGCTTGTCCGAGTTGCGAGAGCATAAACCCTAAACCCTAAGGTTTTTAGGGTGCGGTGCGGCTTGTTCAGCTGGGCGGGTGGGAAAAAAGCGCTCAAGGTTTAAGGAACCCTAAACGGCTGCTTCCTCCAACTCCCGGCAATTTGGAAAGCCTGTTGCAAAAGGGAACCCTAAACCTTAAAAAAAAGGCAGAGGGAAGCCATGCAGTTTCACGCCGACCATGTCAGACCTCGCTTGGATTGTCCGAGACCTTAAAAAGCCTTAAGATCTCAAATCCCCAAGTTGAGAGTTGAGGGATTAAGGTAAGGGTCTATGGGACCTGTAGGGGTATGGAGTTAAGGGAAAGGGGTATATATTATGTTGAGAACAGCAATGTGTTGGTGGTTCTGGCCGGCGACGACTTTTCCTCCTGGCCAGGCGACTCACCACCTGCATGTCTCCAATCGGGTTGAGACATGTTGTGGGGATCGCCCACAGTATGACCATCCGTCTGGCTGGAAAATGGCAACCAGAAAGTCAACTAGGACAACTAGTTCGGCACGAGCCTTGAGCAATAAAGGGATTGACACAACATACCTCAAAGCCTTATCCTATTACATTGTCCCCCATGTTATCTCGAATGCGGGTGCTTACAGAAATCTCGCAGGTGCAATGCGACCGTGGCCTTGCGGCTACGATGCTTTGTGCACATGTCCTGTTCTACTCGTATCGACGGTCCCCAGCCCTTGAACTCTGCAAGCCTTAGATAAAGCCCAGGCATACCCTGGCCATACAGGAGCTATAGGCTCTAAACCTGCAAAGACGTGCCTAACCCAGCGGTGATCTCAGATTGGCAACTGGGCCGATCGCACCTATTGGATTTGCAGCCTCAGCCGCCTCTGCTGAATTTTGGTTTCAGTTTCTAGCAGGTTAGGTTTCAATCAGTTCTTGCATTAACAGGGTTCCGGTTAGGGCTTGAAGGTCTTCGGGCTTTCGGGCGGAAAACATTTTGGTGCCTATGGGTTTCGGGTTTCTAGCTTTAGGGGGTTTCAGACCTAAGTTTCGGATTTTTGGGCCTTCGATGCGCGTGTGTTGAGGGCTCGAGTTCCCTAGATCCGGAGCCTTCTTTCTGCGGTCCAGGACAGCTGATTTTTACTCCCTGTCGAGGCTGCGAAGTTTCCGTTTGCTTAAATGCTAGGCCTGAGCTGTGCTCGGAAGGCGTAAGAATCGCAGCGTACAGGAGGATCAGAACGAAGGCACTGCGGCGTACTATAGGAGCCTTAGTAATGAATTTCAATATGGTTTGAGGCATGGGATACTATAACTATATATTACACCAGTTGCGGGAGTCTGAGGGATATGATCACTGAGTGGTCAGACGCTTCTGCTAGTCCCGGAGCATCTTCTTCCCCATTCCTCTAGCGGCCCCAAGTCTCAAGATAGGTCGGAATCAGTAGACCTACTGAAGCTAATGATAATGTAGTTCTGTATGATTGACATGTAGCGAGTCACTACTGTAGGTTTGTATGGTTTGATATGCCTCAAGCGTCGTCGACAGGTTCTGACATGTAATCATGGAGGTCCTACGATTGAACTTCGATTGCCCTGGGTCCTGTAGATGCAGCAGCAAGCCTTAACCGGACCGGCGAGAGAAGCCCCGCGCAATGTTAATATGCCCTGGCAAGCCCAAGGAATAGGACTTGAGGCGCCAGGAAGTCTGGAGTCAGGCGTTTCACAAGTGATTGCGCGATTTAGGGTTTAGGGTTGTTTAGGGTTCAGGGTGTGCATGAATCGAAACCCCAAGGCAACAATCAGTGGAACGTCGCGGAGGAGGTCGGGCAGAGCTGGGAGGAGTCATCCTTCTATCTGACGCTGACCTGCGGGTATTGCGCTGGAACTGCGATGACCCTTGGCTGGAACTCTCCTAAAGTAAAGCCTGAACACCAGACTCCAGATACCGCAACATTCCCCTTTTCCATAGTTTATCACGAGCACTTCTCGGCTGCCGACCAGTCAGCCACCGCTGACGTTGTGCTGGCTGATAGTGGAGGGGTGGCATTCAGCTTTCGCAGCTACTGTATGCTTCTCAAATCCAGTTTGACGAGTTTGTGAACCGGCCTGTGCAGTGCACAGCGTCTCGGGTTTTGGTATATTTATTTAAGCAGCTTCGCATCGACTCACTGAGATTGAGCTGCCATTACATGCCGTCCCTTTGCGAGATTGCTCGCGCTCGTCTTCTTAGCTGATTCTCTGGCCTTCCAGAATGGTGACTAAGGATCCTTGATGACGAAGCGATGCCATTGACGCGAGCATGGTGCTTATTCGAGGCTTCGCGGCAGTCGAATCCGCCAAGAATTTACTTTACGCATATAAGTATAGGTGAGCTGCACATGCTGTGGCATCTCTTGGTTGGCTTGCTGCAGCTGATGCTACCATGGCCGATGATATTTGCTGCTGTAGTACCGCGACGGCCACGACAACAAACCCGACTGCAACACTGACCACCACCACCGCCACGGCTACCATGGTTAAGGCTTGCTTTGGTTCTTTGCGGGGGCCCTGTGTCCTGTCAGGTACTGCAGACGAAGGAAATCGGCGATCGGCAAAACAGCTTCGAAGGAGCTTTGGGTTTCGGAGTCAGTGCTTGGGGTCCTGGGTCCTGGGTTGGGATGTTTTGGGAAGAAGGGTTCATGGTAGATGTTTTAGGGTGTTGCCGCCGTGCATGAGGGTCTACCTGCACCTGCAATGTGAATTTGAGGAAAGTGTCTTGGGGCGAGTGAGTGAGTTGAGTGGTTGAGATTATACGTGGTCAAGTTTGTCTTTCTCCTGCTACTTGGAGGGACCGGCTTGCGAATTCCCAAATGAACGCAGGCCTAAAGTCGTGTTGTGGATGTTGTCAGAAGGTCCAGTTATCAGGACCCTAAAGTTACCCCCAAACATTGCTTGAAGCGGGATTGGAGAGTGGGCAGAAGGCGCTGCAGGGCTTCAGCAGAATTTTGGGCTTTTTGCTTATAGTTTGTGCCGCCCGCGCAGAATTGGCTTAAAGCTTCCTCTCTAACCTCGCTTCAGGTGCCTGGAACCCCCGAAAATCATGAGCTCCTCTGCACCTCAAGCTCCGGTCTTCAAGTCTGAAGTTGGTACCCGTACTGTCTGCATAGTAGGACAGGGAATGGGGGAATGGATCCCTATAGTAGACCCTATATAATCCGCAAAGAAAGTCTCCATGACCCATTCCCCCATTTTCCACAAAGAACCAGACAGCGTACCATGCTCCGCGCTCCACCTCAACTGAAGGACTTTGGCTCTGCACCGCCACCGGTGTCCTGCATAAGGGCAAGGTGCCTCTGGGTGTCTTTCGGAGTTAGAGTCCGCCTATCAACACTATGCATGTTGGAGTTTCCGTAAATAGGTGACCCTAGTATAGTACCCTAGATAGTAGGATCCTTATTATAAGGACCCTAAATTAAGGTAGCCCTAATTTTCGGAAACTCCCGTGTGAGAGGCTGAGAGGTGTTTTTTTGGCGGGCGTGACATGATCATGACATACTATGAGGGCGGAGCGAAAACCCAGTCGTTTAAGAATTATTCTTCTATTTTGCACCTTGCGAACATGCAAAAGCTCGTGCAAGGGCGCAAGCTTTGCGCTTGATGTTCAGGAAGTTGTGTTAACGTAATGCCGATGTTGCAACATCATGCGTGCAACGTGCTTTTGTTCCTAATTATTGGGTTGCACGAGTAAATATCTAGAGCAACCGTCATCTGATGACCGATGCGACAATCTCTCTCTGTCTTTCACATGTCCAGAGACCGTTTTGTATGACTTAGGTGCCGTGTCGGCTCCACTCCATGCCCTGCACCTGAGAACCCCGGCTGTAGCCCACCCTGACAAGCCGGACCCAGACCCGGTAGCGTCTAGACCGTGTACCCGAAACGAGTACACGAATCTTAGACCAGGCCCAACAAACTGGTACACAATGTCAGCAGCATGCCGTCCACGGCATAAACTAGCACGGAAAGCCGCAATCAAAGCTGTTGTTGCGGGTTCATGACGAGAAGTGAGGGAATCCTGGCGCCAGGCGGGTGTGGATGTCGCCATGCGCATAGCCGAGCGGCTATCAACACTGAAGCTGGAGGATGCAACTGCCTCCGTGCAGAAGGATAAGGACATGAAGCTCGGCACAGGTTTCTGGTTTGGGATTCCTCGCATCGAGCACAGACCTGGCAAAGTTGATCTAAAGCCTACCGTCGACAGAGGGAAGCTGTTGAAGGGGCATCAGCGGTGCTTCAGCATGGTTCTGTGCAGTGCCGCCATCAAAACAAGAATGTGAGTTGCAATGCGCTAGATGCACAACAACTAGTTAAAGCTGTTGCTGACAATTTTGAGAGCGGTAATGACGGTAGTGACTCCGGTAGTGGCCGCGGCAACGACAATGATAACTACAAGTGTGGTAGAGAAGATTCAGAATATCTGTAAGTACAATTACGTCCATCCTTTCATGCAAACATACATACACAGTGGCAGCCAGACACTATCAATAGGTGGAAGCACGTCATTAGTTGCTGTCATGCTTGTGGCATGACAAGCAATTACAATGAAAAGCACTAATCAATTGAGCAAGCCTAAACAAGCCTTTCAGAAAGTCTAAACCCTTCTAGTAGCCCTTTTAGGAACCCTTATAGGAACCCTTGTCGAACCTTTGGAGCCTTTACCTTACCCCGATGCTGAGGATCGACGACTTGGTCTCCCAGATGCCTGGCGGCTTCAGTGCCATGAACGCCTTCGTCAAGCAAAACATTGCCGAGGCTCCTTTAAAGGATCCCATAAAGGAGCCCGAAGGGGTTAGCCGCCTTACAATCAGGGGTACTTTAGGGCTTCTGCAAGGCCCCTTGTGGGCATCTTGCCCTAAATGCCGTTCTCCTTCAAGGTCCTGCTTGGTCCATATTCTCTTCACCTCCGAATTGAGCTCTAGCGCCTTCAGTGTTCAGGGTCTTGGGGCCCTAAGCTGGCATTCCTGTGCACCGCGAAACCCAAGCAAACCTGCCTGTTCCACTGCTTGAGCATTACTAAACTGCGGGATTGGCATCCGGGGCTTCGTTTCGTAACAAAGTTCTCTTTCTGGTACTCGTCTGATAGTTTTTTCAGGCTGCTCATCAAGCTGCCTTCCTCTAAGGCTGCCACCAAAGCCAGGTATGACATGGAAGTCGTTCAGCACGAAGGCCAAAACTAAGGCCACTCCTTCAAACTGACAGGTGACCTCATACCTGGAAGTCTCTCTCAGCTGCCAATCGAGACCCGGAAGCATCCCTTAAAGGCACCCTTACAGGAAGGGCAAACCAGACCATGGGAGAGGTTGAGGTCCCCAGGGGTAGTTTTTTTTTGGTAGCACTTCGGATCCTGAGCGTAGGAGCATTCAGATACCTGACGAAGATCCACAGCCTTACCGTTCTAGCATCGTGCTAGTCGTCAGGTTCCGTCGTTGGTGTTTGTAAGCACCTGCCCTCAAACCCGAAGACTAAACCCTGAGCCGATTCTGGCTGTGTCCGAGTTGCGAGAGCGTACACCCTAAACCCCAAACCCCGAGAAGTGTTCATCAGGCCCTCCTGCGCATGCAAGAGGCATTTTCCAGTGTCCCTTGGCTGCGATGTGCTCCCTAAAACCCTGGCACCGGCCGCCACCGGGCTAGGAAAGCCATGCGAGCATTTGGGAGCTTCGAATCTTGAGGCATTCCCATTACAGGGCCCTGAAAAGCATGCTCTTTATTCTATCATATGATCTTATATAGTCTTCAGTTCAAAAGCCCCTGAATACGGTACCCCTGCTCCTTATTCTATCATGTGATCTTATATACTTATATAGGATCCAGTTCAAAGGGGCCCTTGAATACGGTACCCCTGATTTTCTGAAGGCCCCACATAAAAACCTGATGCCCATGGCTCAGGGGCAAGAAGTGTACATCCAGATCTTTCAGAGGCCCCCTATTGCCCTAGGTGTTTGTGTTTAGGTACGGAGGAAAGGGGCTTCCTAAACCCCCTTAGGCATGCATGCATGCCTACACACGCAGGCAGGCGTGCATACACAACTCAAGCCCCGTGTCTAGTGCTGCTTGTGTTTGTACGGGTGTATGTGCCGCATTCAGGGAGGTAGCAGTAGCATGTACCATTTTTGCTTTTGCACGGGTGGTATGTTTATCGTATCAAAACAGCCTCTACAGGCGAGATGGTGTGAAATAGTTCAACAGCTTGGCCTTGCCTATTGAGGTGTCCACACTTCGGTTGCTGTTTGCTATGCCATCGGCAGGCGTATTTTGACTGGTACTGTTGGACTATTACCGACCCTCCCCACCGAAATCCAGACGCTTTAAGAATCCCTTGAGCATGAGTGGCATGTCCGCAAACCAAGCACAATATGCCCCTGAAGTCCTAAACCCAGAAACTCCAGGCGGAACCCTACAAGTACTGAAACCCTTTGGGCTCGAAATCCTAAATTGACACATTCCTAAGTGCTGAACTCTTAACCCTTGACCTTCTTCCATCAGTTACCCCTGCGTTGCAGGTTCGTCCGCAACCCGGAGGGATAATGCTGTAATACTCCTAACTCCCACCTTTCCAACAAGTTAAACTACCACAACCGCCCAAACCTTTTCAGTCCAAAAGAGCCAAGGATTTTCAGAAGCTGATGGGGTCGCTAGGGCATGCAAAGCAAGGCCGGATGTTCTTGTTGATTGCTGTCGCCGCCGCCGCTGCTGCTGCTGCTGCTGCTGGCGTTTTTGGTGTTATTGTTGGTCGGGGTGTTGATGGTGGCGTTGGTGGTGGTGTTTGCTGCTGCAAGTCTGCTAGTCGGGTTGTTGTCCTTGCTTCTGCTATGGTATGTTCTTGCCTCTACTGTCAGCTGGTCTTGTCGCAACTTCTTCTCTAATAGCCGGAGGTTGTTTTTCCAGAACAATATGATTTCTGACAGAGCCTTTGCATTTCTATTGTTGCTGCAAGGCAAGCGCTAGGATCACAAAATGCACCAGGCTTTGCAGGTCGTTTGGTTCTGTGCCTGGCGTTTGTGGGAGAAGTCTGTCTATGATTTGGGATAACGTGTTCCAATCTGCAGATTCAGAGCACCCGATTTTGCAGCGCGTGCAAGGTCTGGCACGCTTGAACTGCCAAGATTAATTGAAGTTCTACGGACTTGCTCCTCAACACCCAGCCTTGTGCATAAGCACGAACACAGCTTGGCGTAGTCTGCGCCATTTTCCGATGTTGGCGAGTCAGACTGGGTAGCGGGACAGCCTCCTTTAAAGCACAGGCCGCTGAAGCAGAGATCCGCTGTAAGTCCTCATGGCCCAAAAGCAGTAGCATGTGTCGGTGAGACAGACATGTTCACCCTCATGGGCCCAGTCAGGATAGGAAGAAGACGCAACACTTCTGACGTTGCAGTCGTGATCATGCCACAGGCAATGCTAATTTGTTTGAAGCGTTGGCAACTTCTAAGCTCACGGAGACGAGTTGCCTCAATTTCTGCTTACAGTGTCCCTCACCTCTTAACCTGCACAGTAATTAATTAGTCTTGATCGTAGTCTTCGGCCCAGGTCATAAACGTACTCCGCCTCCCGAGCCCTATAAACTTCAAACCCTAGAAGCCGAAAGCCCTAAACCCATGCATCCTTAAACCGACAGGCAGGACTGTTCTCTGCAATGGCTAGCTAGCCACAGTCTTTTATCTGGCACAGAAGCCCTCTCTCCCATTGCGTCTCCTGGAAACTTGAGGAAGCCTTAAGGGCCTGGCCGTTATAGTAAGCCTTACCGTCGCCGTCCGTAAATCCTACATAAACCCTCCTGGCATGTGGTTCTGGATTGTCCGAGCCTGAGCGCCGAAATGCACTAAAACCCTGTAAAGTTTAGTAGTCTCCGTGACAGCAGCCGTTACACTAATACAGGGGCCTAAATATGAATTACCGATACATTTTTTTTTTTTGCGGGGGGGGGGTCCTGATTATAAGTATAGTATAAGGGGCTCCAAAACCCTATTTTGATTATTAAGGCCCCATAAGGCCCCTATATTATAGAACCCGACTATAGATTCCTTACAGGACCCTTCAAAGGGAACCCTCTTCTAATCCTAAAGGCCCCTACATTAGCACCCCCCCCCCCTTTTGGGGAAGCCCCGGCCTGGGTCTCCGCAGGTGCGCCAAGCCTTGAGCGAGGCGCATGGGAACTCCGGCCTTGCAAGGCGGAGGAGGCGGAGGAACCCGAGGAGAGTCCTGGTGACTACTTGGAGGTTCATGGGTAGTTATAAGCGGGGTTATAAGTCCCTGAGCACGGGTTATATTTATAGTTACCCTATTTCTAACCCACCTATAACTACCCATGAACCTCCAAGTAGTTGCTCGGGCGAGAGGATCAGACTTGGGGGAGGTGAATGGATGGATTCTTATGGAAAAAGGCAGTCGCAGAAGAGTTTAGCATAGTCTAACTGGCAAATGTGAGCCGTAATCAGAAGCCTTAAACGCTCATGTCCCGCTTTGCAGGAGCAGGCTGTGGAGCTGTCGCTGAATGGGAGCCAGTCGCGAGAGCCAACGCCCATACCGTAACCTTCGCCAGGCAGGGCTCTGCAACCTGCCTAGACCGTCGGGCCGTAGGTTTTGGTGTGCGAGAGGTTTAGGAGCACTAGGCGAAAACGCTACCGAAATAAGAAGCATTGCGTTCAAGCACCAGGAGCTTGGCGGCCAGGGCGTCTAAGGATGTGCAAATTCAACCCGAGGCACTACCTTTTTTGGACTTCGGAGACAGTGAGCAGAGAGTACAAAGCTCCTTGCTGTTGACGTCTGTATACTGGCCAGGCTCACCATGTGAACACACACACACACACACACGACAAATCCACCACTCATGAGGCTTCTGAAGAAGGATCCTCGACATCCCCGATTCTCAGGAGCCCTCATTGCTCAAGCCTTCTGTGGCTGGTCGCAGGGGAACCTGGCCTGGCTAGCTTTCGCTCGCCGTCGCTTTTGGATCCGGTTTCTTGCACAGCATGCCCGCGAGCACGAGGAGCAACGCTTTCTGTACGCATGCTGGACACACATGACCCATAGAATGTGATAGCACCCTTAAGCCACGAAGGCCTTTGAGATTACACTCTGCGGATCAAATCGGCTGCAGTAGCTGGAAGGGAGAAGATGGTCTCAAACTCCACTGAATTCCACCAAGTTCTTGCCGCCTGAATTTAATCGAACCCAAGTCGTTATCTTAAGGAATCCCAGCAATGGCCTAAAGTCCCAAGCCCAGGGGCTTTTTTGATCACCTACGGCATCCCAGACCCCATAGTGCTCGTCGAAGTTTGCGAGGCATGAACAGCTCAGGAAGTGGGCAGGAGCCCCAACGAACTCGCAGGTCGTTGCTTCAGCTGCCTTGGCCAAGGATGCCAATGACAAATTACCTATACAATTTTGGGTGTTCCTCAATATAAGTATAGCATAATGGGCCCCCAAAACCCTACAGTATTCCAACTATTGAGGCCCCTATATTATTTCCTTTGTTTCAGCCTTCAGGGCTTGATATCCGTGAATGTGGCCTCTTGAAAGCATACTGCCTACTGCAAAGTCGAAAGTCGGACCATTGAGCATCTCGCCAGAGGGCCAGGGCTGCTGAGAGACACTCTTGCCACGTCCCGCCACCACTTGGGTAGTTCTCCGAGGTAGGGTCCTGTTGTCAAAGTATTACGCCAGCCTTGAGTAGCACAGCACAGACCGTACTTTGGAGAACCCCCCGACCCTTTCTGGGTTTCTTTCTTATCCTCAGGCCGGAGCTCGCCAGAGGCGTCAGCTCCGGTTTAAAGTCGTCGGCTCCGGCGCCTGTACAGATCTTGAGCCAAGGAATCAGTGCAGCATTCTTGCTATTTCTAGCATCACCAAGATTCTTCTTGTCCGTCCAACATCGGATAAGTCTTGTCGTAAACACATGCAACTCTTTATGCCAACAGCGATTGCAGCTGCTGCGACTCGGACTGCACCGCCACCACCAGCACCAGCACCATCGCGACCGACACCCCGGCCACCTCAGCCACCCTGCTGGCCCTGCCACCCCTGCACCCCTGCGACCAACCACCGCAACCACCGCTTGCACCAGCCGCCATGACTAAACCCACCCCTCAAAGTTTCGGGCTCAACCTCTGGGGTGCTTGTGAGCTTTTTAACCATCTACGGACACCGGCAAGCTCATTAGCTGCTGCTGCCCCAAGTTTGCACGCTTAATTTGTGTCGAGGTCATGCGTCCCCAAGGGATTCGTGCGACTGTCGCGTCTGATTCTCTAGAAGTCCAAGGCAAAGAAGGGGTTTTTCAGAACAGGTAGTATGCCGCACGATTGTAGGGTAGGCTGAACTGCAGCCAGGGCCGTTCACGCTCTCGCATCACATCTTGTTTGGTATGCAACAAAGGTGGATATTTACTTCTCCATGTGTTTTCGCTTACACGCCAAAGCAGGCGAAGCCCCGATTCCGAAACTCAACGCGCCTGCCTCCCAAGCCTTCATTGAGTGCAGAACCCTGCTGAACCCCGAGCACCCTGACTCTTCAAACGAGTCCGAAGGTTGATGGGTTTTTGGCTTTGAGGCTTAGTAGTTAGTAGTTAAGGCTCTGAGTTGACAGGGCTTACGCTTGGATATCGTGCGTGCCATGTCAAATCCCGCTGCAGCCGTACGCAAAGAAGCCACCACCCTCACCGCGAAACGGCCGGCAAACCTGTTGACAGCGGCATGCATAGATCTCAGCAAGAAGCCTTGTAAGCCCCGCGCCGCATGAAACACTCCTTTTGCACCAAGCTGTTCCAAAAATGCCCTAAACCCTAAACCCTATCTGCAAGCCCTAAAACTTCTGTGAACCGCCAAACCCCCAGCAGCCCCCCTGCAGCCGAAGAAAGCCGCCGTGTTACAATGGCGACCTCGGATCCCACCATCACGCCCGACACTTAAAATACAGCGCTCTTCATGCTCAGAAGGGGGTTTGTGGTGTATAGTGGCGTATGTTATCGTAACTGTAGTGTATCAGTATGGTTGTATACAGACTTCAGGGAGAGACTCTTGCTAACGATTCTCGCCCAGGGCTTCACACAACCTGCTTTGAGCATGCAAGAAGTGCGTTGTTCTTAGGATGGTAGCCTGGTAGTTCTCAGAAATTTTGCTCATGATGGTGAGAATGACCGTCATTGTGCAGTGCTGTGGTTGTTGAGAAGGACCGTCAGCTTCAGAAGTATGCTAGTGCTGCAGCTTGAGGTGGTGATTGTAAGTATCGTCATCGTCGTCCGTATTATCACGTTAGGGCCGTTAGGGGCTCGCTCACATCATGGCGATGGTCTTGCTGTCGCTGTCACAGCAGGTTGGAACTGGGTTGTCCATGACTAGGGGTAGTTTCTCTTGTCTCTTGGCCACTCGCCATATCAATCCAGTCTTTTTTTGTCTATAATGACTGTCATCTCTGTTTTTACAGATTGCAGTATGGATCTTGCCAGAAGTTCTGCTGGGCCTGAGCCCTAATCTCTAAACCTTAAAAGCCCAAAGCCCGTAACTTGAGGTTCCAGCCGCTTGCTGACGATGGAGCGCTCTTCGGAAAGGTGGTGTCGGTGTGCATCGGTCGGGACGCCCTGCGCAGCTGTGAGGGCGCTTTGGGGTTCATATCACAAGTTTATGCCTGGCTTCCGTTTGGTCGGTGTTCCATTGTGAAATGATTCATGCCCCATACCTATTTAAGCATAGCACTTGGACAGAGATGCTAGTTCAAATTGCTCATAATTTGCCGGACGGGCAGGGTCAACGGCACCCAGAGCCTGCATGTGATTGGAGAGGGGCCATGGGCGGCTACCGAGGTGTGACACTCGACTAAGCCAGTCGTCGGCGAGCAAACACATGGATTCGTTGCATGAGCTTGATACCAACCCCCCCCCCCCTGTGCCGATACACCCCCAAGGTATACTCCTTGTAAGGAGGTGTATGACCAGTTATTCCCTAAGGATCAAAGGGCAGCGCCCTGCACACGGACAGTAGTTGTTTTGTCTTGCTACGCAAGGAGAGCTTGTCTTGTCTCAATATGGTAAAACCACTGTGAGCCAATGGGCAGCGGAATGTATATGTATGAGCATGCAGCCATTGCTGTAGGTACCTGTTAGAGCTACCCCTTTAGAGGTTTATGGTTTCAAACAGACACTAATTTTCTTTTACCGGAAGCATGGCCGCACATTCACACATATACTGTTATGCCCACTGTCACAGTTGCGGAGTTTGGACTCATGATAAAAACAGCATATTATTTATGCTAGGTATAGCACTGAAGTACACTGCTGAGGACACTCCACTCATTTTGCACACACACTCATGCATGTTGGTCAGAGAGATCATCTGTACAAGATCATGTCTGGTGATGTTTTCTACATCGAATTATGCAGCCTTTCACTTTGCTCTTGTTAGAGCTTTGTGAGTCACTATTGTGAAACTCTGAGATTCTCTTATCTCAGATTTGGATCCAGGTTTGGATCATAGGCTCGAGCGTAGACGTTCGGATGTGGCTCATCCGGGTCTGAGTGATCTTCTTCGGAACTTGAAAAGATTCCGAGTAATCTGTTCTCAGCCCTGGTGAAGGCGGCGTCTGCAGTATCATATCCATGGTTGGATGTTGTCGCCTTTGGCTCGGCCTTTGGAGCAGCTTGTGAGCTGACTGGAGTTGCCTTGGCTTTTGCCGGTTGCGGCTGCTTAGCCTTTGCCCGTTCAGCCCTTCTTCTTTCAAGCTGTCCGTCTGAGGACGCCCATGATCTTTCACTTTCATCTCCTGAAGGAGATAAGGCGTGGGCATAAAGGCTATTCCAGTACTGTGGTGCAGAAGGAGTTAGGACTTCTTCATTGTCAGATTCTGATTGGTCTTCCTCAGAGCTTTGGTCGTCAAAGAGTGTCTCGAGGACATTTTTGAGATTGTTATTTCTTCGCTCTATCTCTAGTGAGGAATGGACCAATTGGTTAAAGACTGTCCTTGAGTCCTTCAGTGCTGTTAGAAGGATTTCCACTCTGGATAGAGTATCTTGGATGGTGTCAAGATGTTCCTTTCTTTCCTCCTTGTCTCTCTGGATAGAGCCTCGCAATGCTTGTGCGATTCTGAGGAGGTCTGTGTATTTCGCAAGAGGCATAGTTACCGTTTGATTGTCATGTATGACAGTTGTTTCGTCGCCGCTTAAGTTCCTGAATAGGACTTCCACGACTGGTAGGAACTCCGTGCTCCACGGTTCCTCTTCATCATATGTTTCTACGTGCTGTAGCACGCGTTGTGTAAACTGGCCGGCTGCTTCTACCGTTGCATCGATAGAGCTGACGTGTCTTGCTACTATGTTTCGGCACGTAACGTTAATTGCCTGGCCTTGATTGGCTTCGTCAAGTGCAGCGTCTGCATAGGTGCAGAGTCCACTGTTGTGGGCTTCTCTAGCTGCCTTTCGTTGAATGCGCCGATTTTGACCTCCTCTTCTGGTAGGACCTTTTGGTCTCGGAGGATCTGAAGGTACTGTTCCCTTCGCCTTTGGCGGAGGACTCTTAGGTGGAGGTGACATGTTTGCCTTGTTA